TCTCTCTTAGGCACGGGGTGCTTTGGGAAAGTTTGTAAAGAAAGCAATTGTGCACTACAGGGATGACCTGGATCTGCAGAACCTGATGGATTACATTCAAAAAGAGGTGCTCTCATTGGCTATTTCCACTGAGCCGGAGTGGCTCCTTTTGTCTGTAGAAGTCTTCAAACTGATCACAGATAGTTTATTGGATGCATCTGAGACTAAAGCAAGAAACCGCAGTTTGTTTTGTTTGTTTTTTTGCCTTAGCGAGGGTTTCCACAGGAGGCTACATGCAACTTACAGTTCCTGTTCTCTGTGGGTCACCTCATGTGAAACTGCTCTTCCATCTGCACATGCTGGCACATTTATGAGTTTGGGTTTTCCCACGGGAGAAGCCCTGACTGGCAGGATGCCCAGTACAGACCAACACTATGTTTCTAAATATACACCCGATTTCACTTTTCACTCTTCATTTTTCTTTTTCCCCCCAGTTCAAGTGTTGTGGATGGAACAACTACACTGATTGGTCTTGGAACCTCTACTTTAATTGTACACATGACAACCCCAGCTCTGAGCGCTGTGGTGTGCCTTATTCATGCTGTACTCCTGTTCCTGGGGAGGTCAGTCTTTCTCTGTTTAGCCTCTTAACATACACAACATGTACAAACTAACAGCGTGCCTTAAAAGAAACCTTAACACAAACTTTCATAATCTTAAGATGATGTATTATTAAGATTGCTGACCTCACAATTTCAGTCAGCATTTCAAATTTGTTCAGTGTTTTAAATCTTCTCTGTCATGCCGAATTCACTTGATTAAGCAACTGACAAATCAAACCTCCTTCACATTTATGATAAACAGAAACAAGAAAGGCAGAAAGATTGTGACATGAACAGAACAAGCAGCTGTATGATGATGAAACAGGCTCTTAACACTTTATTAACAGAGAAAAATAAATAAAACTGCTGAGAATTTAAAGTTACAAAAAAAATCTTGTATCTTGACTCAGCAGGGTCTTATGCAGGAGCTTGGTGAGTAGAACAGACTGTGGCAATAAAGGATAACACACGTAAAGCTACCCAGCCATGTCAACACAACTGTGCGCCAGTTGTGTGTATTTCACATTCACCTCCACACATCTCTCTCTGAATGCAAGATATGTATGTGGCCAGTATTCAACGGGAGACAAAATATGGCAGCTATGCATGTATTTCTTCTAAACTTGGAGAAGAGGACTTCCACGGGTCCCTGGAGTCTCCAGACAGTTACATTCGATTAGAAGTGAGGCTTCTCTGCTAAGACATCAGACTGTCTTATCCAACAGAAGTGAGACTGTCAGCTGATGATGGGGATTCAAGACTTTCCACTGACAAGCTGGCATTAAGAGAGACCCAAAGAAAATTTGAAATCATCTATAAAATATACCCGATACTTTAGCTAATGGTCTGTGGATGCTGAATTATAGCCAGCACTGCCTGACTGTGACAACCTGCGTTGTTTTGACATGTACGCAAGTGTGTCCAAACTAAGAGGCTCTCAGTCGGGAGGTGGCAAGAACACGTCTGCATCTGCTTGTAATACCAAAAACTGCTTTTACCTTCCTTTACTTTGGGATTAGCTGTCATGCACAGAACTGGTCTCATAATGGCCAACCAGTTTCTCTTAAAAGGAATCTGCAAATTGATTGGTTGAGTACCTGAATGAGTCACTGCCAGGCAATTTCCATCTTAAAGAAGAAAGAAAAAAAAACATGTTTAACATATTCCGATATGATCAACCTTACAGTAAATTTGCACAGATGATTCCAAATCAAAGTCTTCTTTCATGAAGGTTTTATGATATTTTGAGACTACTGAATCAACACTACAGCTATCTGCGTGCATGAGGATCCATGCTGTCATACAAACAGCATATATGTAAATGTCTGCATGAGCACAAACTTTGGATTCACAAATACACGCAAAAAAATCTCTGTACAGACGCAGCAGCACAGCTTGAAAACCACCACTGAGGAAAAAACATCTATCACACTATTGATTAAACATCATGCAACTCTGAAAACAGATCACAGCAACATTTTACAACATGGGGTAAAAATAAAATAACATTAAAAACAACTAAAAAAAACGATTAATTAAACAGTTTGAGAGCTGCTGCTGTGCTGCGACCTGCTGGTAGTACCCTGTAACTGCATGGTTCCCTCAGGGATTAGGTAGCTTTTCTTTTCAGAGCCAGTGGGTTTTGCTTGTACTGCTCACATTATTTTCTTTCCTCTCAACAAACGTCACTCTTTCATTATTTCCAATTTACTTTCAATTCAAAGTAAAAACAAGCAATGTGAAACCAGCAGCATGAAAGCGAGATCTGAACGTATTTAGAGTGCTTTAGGTTTATGTGCTTATCAATGTATCATGCACTCAGTGTTTCGTCTGTCTTTGCTTTTGGTCATCTGGCTTACAGGCAGTGATCAACACTATGTGCGGTTTTGGAGTTCAAACGCAAAACTTCATGGAGGCAAACAAGTCGATCTACCCAGTAGGCTGTGCAGACAAAGCAGTGATGTGGATCGAGTCTCATCTGCTGCTGGTGGGAGCTCTCGCCTTGGGTCTGGCCTTGCCTCAGGTAACCCAGTGTAGTAATTAGGCAACACAGGACTAGTAACTTGCCAAAAGGACTAGTTTCATCTTGAATAAGACTACAAACAAACAAGCCAATATAACTATTAATGAAAGTTTGCTGGATTCAGTGTGTAGCAATCAACATATTGACTGGAGACGCTCCCTCAAAGGCAAACTTCAAACTGGCGTTTTTGGATGTGGCTGCGAAAACAGTCCAAGCTAGACTTCAGCAATCAGAGCCATGCAGACTTTATACTCGCATACAAATCTCAATCTGAGAGCTTCCCACGGCCTTTTTTACAAGTTCAATATCGTCCTTGTAAAAAAATAAAAAAATAAATTTTTAAAAAAAAAGGGATAAAACTTGGATTCTAGAGGAAACCAATAAGGAGTAGGGTTAATGTGAGGCCACTGTGAATCAAGGGATTTGGAATGGTGTGTTCTACCTAGACAGCAATAACTAGGCACATTGGGACAATAAAATTTTAACTGCACATTATTCATTTATTACACTATCCTAGAATGAGTACAGGTTAATGTGCAACAGAGGTAGAGGGGTGTGTGTGATAATGTAATATGTCTAAGAGATGCTGACGACTCCCTGATTCTCACTGTGCAACGCACCACGATCCCCCAGCATTTCCGCTGCAGCAGACGGAAATCTAGAGAATCTGAAATGCCAGAATTTGAAAATAGACAGGCCTCCTCTTGAAGCTCTTCTTCCTCTTCTAAATCCCTCCCATGTTGTCCCATAAATATGTACCAAACATCTATGCTGACGCCTTCTATTGCAATGGCAGTCCTTTATACTACTTACCTGCTAAAATTTCCCATCATGAACTGTATTTTTTTAAATGGGTCAAGAGAAATGTATTCACACCTAAGACCACCTAAATTACAAAATGCTGACAGGATGTGTTACGGGGATGATTTTGTTTTGCCCCTCTACCAATGATGCTAAAAACATGCCCTGATAACTAAATAAAACCATTCAATACTCATTAAGCAAACATGAAATCAAATTAGCACTTATAACGAGCTGCCTCTAAATAATTACTCTGTTTACTTATTAAAATGTTTCAGCTAATATTAAATGGCAATCTAGCAGAAGGTGTAACTTTAGCACAGGATGTTTAAACTGATTTGTCTCGTTCTCATCTGTACGCTAGGCTCTGCAGTGAATCTGAAGAGAAGCACAAATTACCCACAAGGCCCGACAGAGCAATTGCATTAGTTTTCTAATGCTTTGATGTGCCGTAAATCTGATGAAGTTCTCTTTTAAGTCTTGCATATCCTCTCAAAACACTTACCGACACTTACTTTGTCTGCATAACAAGCCAAAGTGTTAATTATAGACTGCTGTTTAAAAGCTGTGTTTGCAACCCAATGGTTTGGTTTCTCTCTGTAAGAACACCTTATGATCGGCTTGACAGGTGCGTACAAATGTGAGTACGCAATTATTTTAAGTGACTCGTTTGAGTCAGTCTCAACTAATTTGGGAACCTTTCTTCCCAGCGCCACATTGCAGCACCCTGCTAAGGGACCTTGAGATGCTCGGTACAGAACGTACAGTTACAGAGAGCCTCTTCTGTGATCTAAAGTGGCTGCTGTTGTCCTCTAGATTGCAGGAATTGTGCTGTCCCAGATCCTGATCTCTCAGATTCAAGATGAGATTACCTCAGTGTTGTGAGAGCGCTACGACAGAGGGGAAGAAAACGAAAAAAAGGAACTTGCAGTACTCCACTCAGCTTCTCTGACATGTTCAAGGACATCTTTTCTACAGCTACTACTGCAATATCTGGGCATGTGATATTCTTAACATGTGGTTGCCTACAGGTATACAAGTGTGATGCACTTTAATGTATTATTTACAGTCAATTATATGCCAAGTTTATATATTATTAACTGGTTTTGAACATTGACGTCAAGATTTCATCTCTTTAAATGTGAAAAGTTTGCTTATAGAATTGAGTTAAAACATATGCATTTATTATTTTATGTTACTGTTTATCACTGAACATCAGCTCACATAAAGCAAGTCATTATGTGTCGTTTTTTTAAAGGTCTGGAAACACAACATTCACACACTGCTCGCCTCCCTCACTCAGCTAACGGGAAAGAAAGAGAGTGAAGTAGTAAATCAAACAATTTCTGATCCTAAAGTCAAGGTAGGCGTAGCCACACCTCCACACAACCAGGCAAGAAGGTGTCACACTGGATTTTGTGCGAATGCAGCCAATATGCAGTGTACGTACTCGCCACTGTGGGCCATCTGTTCTGCAACCCTGTGTTGGTCAAACAGATACAGACCTTCAGCTGTCCATGAGAGACGGAGAGCAGAATGTGGGTAAAGCATTGTCCTCGTAGCTGTTTTTATAGCGCACCACCACACACTTCAAGTGCTTCATAAGTCACAACTGTGACGAATTTATTTCGCTCAAAGTCCAAAGATTGGTTTTTGTATATTATTTCTTCAACACCATTTATCATAGACATTGTCAGCCTATTGCTGATGTTACATACATAGATATAGATCAAAGAGTTCAGTATTAAATCAGTTATTTTTAAACTCTAATCAAAGAAATAAATGTTACATTTTTGATTTTTTTTAATCAAAGGAAGCTCATTTTAAAATGTTACATCAATTTCAATATAACATTTTAGGTATTTGAAATTTCAAAATGCTATTTTCCCCCAACAAAACATTTTTCTCTTTCTTTAAATCTCACATTTTTATGTATTTCAGCAGCATTACCACCACATTCCCACCTTTCAGTCGGGGTTCAGCCTTGTAGCACCAGCTGAACAGCTGCTACTCAATTTAGCCCAGTGGAAATCTTTTTACAACAATGTAAAAGCAATTTCAAAATCATACCAAGTTGTACAGTAACTAAATAAATGAAAGGACTTAAGACTGTTTATAAAACGTACAACAGCATTAAACCAGCTAAACAGGGTTGGGGGGGCGGGGTTGTTTATTGCTGAGCATCACAAGTCAAGATCCAGTGGCAGTAATATTAATCATCATTTGAAGCTCTGATAAGCTAAACAATCAATATAGAATATTTATAAAAGCAAATGTTTATTTGTTTAAATATAGAAAGTGAGAGAAGGCTCATTTAAAATAACATTGTTTTCAGTCTAGCTTCAGAGTGCACAGCGCCACCACTGTCATGTAATGTAATAAAAGCTTTCATTAGAAAAATGGAAATACAATTATTTGGGGAATAAAATTAACAATTTTTGGAATGAATAAAAGAAAAAAAATTTTGCACATAAGTTATTGCAGAAATTTGAATAATTCAATTTTACATATTTTTTCATGTCAAACTAGCTTACAGCTGTGTATTAATTATTGAATACTTGGAGTCTATAGTAAGAAAGAACTTCAATGCGAACTACAATGAGATTTGCATGAAAGGTTTCCACTCTCTTAACACTCCAAGCTCTTGATAGTTAAATCTTTTAAACCCACAATGGTTGTTTTTTTATATGGGAACTGGTTTGTGCACCTCTAGTCCTGAAGTGCAAGAGCTTTCTGCATCAGACGATGGGTCAGAGGAGAGTTTGGCCTCACGGCATCGCGCTCTGCCAGAAGACATCTGGGGAAATTCAGCACAAGACAGTGCAAAGACATGAACACAGATTCAAAGAGACTGCAGGCTGAGAGGCTAAGCTGATCAATAATGAAAGTATAACATGCTGTACAGACATGGATGTCAGTTACATAATAGGAGCATGAAAGCAGCTCGTGCTCTGTATGCAGATGGAAAGCAGTTAAAGAAAATCGGAGTGGACAGCAATCGCAACAAAACTATGTTGGAATTTCAGTGTTTCAGTGAATGAAAGATGGGGTTTTATTTCCCCTCGCACAATCTTCCGGCATATTCCCATGCAAAAACACACTGATACTGGGGGGAAAACACCCCAAAGCATGAAGCCTGAAATCCCTGCTGCTCCTTACCTTCCCAGCTTCTGGTGGTGCTTATTCTCCGATTTCATCGCAGCATGAATAAGCAGCTGATTAAACAGATCCCTCTGAAAACAACAATACACAAACACATTATTAGACACAAACCTCTTTCAGTTGTAAAAGGACATTCTGCATTTTGTGTTAGATTGTGTTACATTTTATGTAACCTGTGATGCCTTAGAGAACGGTTCTCAGAACAAAAATAACATAAAAGAGTTCATTATTCATACACTGGTGCACTACACTCCACATGTTCACACGGTCTGGTATGTTCATAGATAGAAAGACTGCAGCTTTTCTGCACAACACTCCTAACCTCTGACCTGTTTTTACAGCATCAAGGATTTCACTTTTGCTCAAGAAAACAAAGTATGAGCAATGATATCCAAAGATAGTAAAGCCTCGAGGCTTAAACATTTTCAGCAGTTCACTAGGAGAGCTGCAGTTTGAAATGATTTTCTTTAACAGTTAATAAATTCTTTGAGACTTACCTGTGCATCACTGCCACCTATGTCTACCATGTGATAGCGTAAAGGGTATAGTAGCTCCACAGTTTGACCGTAGTTACCCTGGTTGTACTCCAGCATAGCCTGGCACATTGGTATCCCTATAGTCCCGGCCAGCTGATGCTGCTGATTGTCTCCTGGATCCCTGTGCAAGAAAAACACGGTTTTAAAAAAAGGAAACAACTTTTCTTATAAAAAGGAGCCAAAGATACAGAGTAACAAGTTAAAAACTGTTAATGCTGCATCTCAAAGAAGGCATCAGCATTAAATATTTTGTGAGAGTAGAAATCCAGGGATCTGGTTTGTCTTGCAAAAAGAAAATTAAAGCAAACATAAAGAACACATTCTGGAAAAAGACACTCTGTGGCTAGTTAGTTTATTTCTACATTTTTTGCTGACTTGTAAAGACACAGGAATATTTCCCTCTCCTTTATCTTTTGTGGTAGTTTCCCCTTGTGGCAGGCTCTCCATGTGTGATAGCATATTGGTGTCTAAGTCTGCCCTCCTCACACAAATGGAGACGAACTGAACAGAAGCGAGCTCAGTGAAGTGCATCTAATATTATGTGAATTTAAACACTTGTTATGTCACTGTAAGTGCATTAAAAGCTTCAAGAAGTGTGAGTCCATCTGCAATGACTTCAGAGAATGACTCTCTTAGGTTTGTCTTTGGAAAAAAAAAAAAAGTGCTGCTGTTGCACTTATCCAAACTTCTGCGGCCCAGTCTCCTCCCTACAGCAGTCAATCTAGAGGGAAAGCTGCAAAGACCTCTGAGAAGGATTCACTTCACTGTCCTTAAGCTTTCTCAGATTAGCAAATACTCTGAGTGACTGCCTCTGACTGTATAATTACCATATGGAAAAATATGGATCAGTTTAAACTATGCAATCCTCCAAAGACCCAGGTAATAAAAAGTAATATGCTAGATGTAATTGATGCATGCTGCGTTTGAACATGCATGCAGCTCGTCTAATACACTCAAAGTAAAGCTGCGATGAGGAGAAAATTACATTTTCTTACTTAACTCACTTTCAAAGAAATCCAACACGTCTTAAGTAATAGTGAAAGCACGACAGCTTTAAGGACTGGTTTTAAATGTGAGCTGTTCTGTGGTTTGTATGCTCGACGAAACGAAGAGCACAGGCCATTATAACCTCAGAGGCATCTGCTGCAGAGGGAAGCCCCTCTCTCTGACTGTATTCACACTCTATCTCACATCCTACGCTCAGTCTTGTCTCCATTTTACATAAGGCTTGTGTTGTTCTTATGTAAGCCTGACAGAGTGTTGAGGTGTGCAGTGAAGAGAAGAAATGGCACAAAACTTACTTCGCCAATTCCTGAAGGCCCTCCAGCAGACGCCGACTAGTCCCAGTCTCTTTAGCTCCCAGCGACACCATAAGGAAGTGAAGGTCATTAAACAAGGTCACGTGATCGTCAGTGTGAGGCCGAGTTACTTGGAGCAGCTCCTGCCAACGCTCCTTCACACACACTCCTGAAACATGCAGAAACACAAACACGCTAATACAGCTTGAAGGCTGCATAGTCAGCTGTAAAACAGAGCAGGAAGAAAATGTGGTCAGAGGTTCTGTTAATTACCTTAATTTCCAACAAAGCACTTTTGAGGTTCAAATTAATGAAGGATGGCAACTGAGATTATCTCACCTCATTAGCAGTTTCACTCAACACCATACTGTCTTAAATTATCTTAAATTATTTGTTCCAGTTGCCCATCAGCCCATTAGTAACACATTAGGAAATGTTGCAGCATTTTGCCAGCTGGCATCATTTTAAACATATTCTATGAGCACAAAAAAAAAAAAATGCATTACTCCTGAATTTTAATCAGAGTGTGATGAGTGTCTGAGATGTATTTTTAGCATGCAGTTTGTTCTATATCTTACCGTCCATTTCCAATCTGTAAAGTAATGAGCAGCCATCTACAATGTCCAACATGGCTCCCGAGGCCTTGCAACGCCTGAAAACCTTAGTTGAACACAACACACTGTCATCACTATTCATTCTAATCACCAAAGGACATACAGACGTTTACATGCACTCGTCATGGGCATGAATGTCATGGTCATTTTGCTCTTTGTTCTTTTTCCAGGGTTTAACTAATTGTAGAGCATACATCTTTAAGGACTATAAAAAACAAGAACTGGGCCACATACATACATATACAGTATATAACTAATATTTGGTTAAATGTCACTTAATAAACCAGTTTCAAAGTGTGTTTAGGATCACTGACCCAATTGTGTATCCAAGTTTCAGCTGTCTAGCTGTTGACTTGAGGTAAAGAAGAAGTTGGAGGTAGTCCTTTAGTATCAACTGCAGGAAAACAGCCCCAGAGCTTGATGCTACCCCCACCTTGACTGACAGCTGGTAGCCTATTCTAACCTTTACTTCTCCAAACTTTCCTCATCATTTTGGTCGAACAGCTCAATCTTTGTCTTGTCTGACCATAAAACTTTTCTCCACAAGGCTTGCCTCTGTGGGTTCAGTTCAGTTGTGCTTGAACTTTGCAGCAGGGGCTTTGTTTCTCGGTTCATAGCGATGCTTCACTGTGAACGCTCAGCCTGGTGTTCCAGCAGCTTCCTGTTCATGGCAGGATTTTTGATAGTTTGAGTCTTCTTCTAGACCTTAGCAAAGCTGTGACATACCTGAATAACTTTTACTTATGTACAATAGTTTTGAAGTTTGATGATCTTAGAATTTCCAGTTGTTTAGAAATGGCTCAGAGAGACCTTTCCAACTTGTGTGAATCTACACAAGTTCCTTGGACTTTCCCATTGCTCTGAGCATTGATCGATTCAGCGCGTGATGTCGAGCAAATAATTTGTATGCTGTAAGTTAACAGGTCTTCACCTTGTCAAATTACCAGACAATGTACGACCTTCAGTACCCCTTATTAATAGACTTAAGTGAGTGTATTTTTTTTTGACAACTTTATTTATAATTTTCCAATATGACAAAAGTACAGAAAAATATAACTCGAATTGTGATTACAAACACTGACATTGTGAAACTGGTTACGCCAGTGGCAAACCAGTTGGATGCAGGAAAATGTGTAATCTATGGGCACATACAAAAAAACAAAAAAAAAAGTACTATCACGTGAACAAGGCAAAAAAAACAAAAACAAACGAACAGAAAAAAACAAAAAACAAAACCCACAAAGAAACAAACAACAAAATAGAATAAAATACAATAATAATAAAAGGGGGGGGGGGGGCTGCATTGTGCGCAGTTCTGCAAACACCTCTTAAGTGAGTGTATTTAAATATTTGAGCCTGTACGTATGATTCTGACCTTTGATGGATTAGAAAAAAATCTAAACTAAAATCCAACTTTTAAGCCAAATTCTTGTTTTTAAATATTTAAAGGTGTATCCACCTAACACTTCAAAGAAAGTCAGCCAAGAATTACCATGACATTCGTGTCCATGATGACTGTACACAACGTCTGACCACGTTGTGTACAGTTCAGAGAAATTAAGTAAAGAAAAGAAAAAAACGAGATGCTGAACTTTGCTGATGTGAATTTCAGAATTTCTTTTGCGTTCAAACTTTTAGCTGAGAAGTATTATTCTAAAGGTGCAGGACATCAAAGAGATGTACTTTCAAATTGTCTCTCTTATTTTTGGAGTATCACGAAATATAATCCGCTTTGGCTGTTGACACTGAAATGAGTGTGGGTGGTTCCTTGGCTCTGACATATGAATATGGATTTGACTTTCATTTTTGTTCACGCTTACCTTCTTGACTCACAACGAGCACATCAAACTGCATTAGTCTGCGTCTCTTGTGCAGTGTTGTGCAGTGGCGTATGCGTGACTCTGGAAGTTACTAAGAGTATGTACTCAGGCAGCTATAGTATTAAAGTTTAGATGCAAACTTTCAACAGAAACCAACCTGAGTGTCGTATATTTGCAGAGCAGCTTCGTGTTGCCTCTGTGGAGGAGGTGAGGAAGACAAATTTGAATAACTTGAGCACTGAGAAATAGGCAACGTGGATAAATTGAGTTGCCCAAATGCAAACACAAATTAATCTTACAATATAATCAACCCCAGGCTTCAAATTACCTATGGGAGACAATATCATAAATACATTCTCCACAAACACTGACTGCCAGCTTTCCGCTTGGCTGAAAAACCCATTATCATCTTTACCTTCTCGATGAAAAATAGAGCCCAGTGCCAATAGTTATGACTGGCCAGCATGTCAGTTACCTGGAATTAAACATTACAGAGTTCAAATACTTTTCCCGGGGCTATTTGGATATGTAATATAATTCAGTCGTCTATGGAACAGATTACTTGTATGTGATTAATCAAAAACAGAAAAGAACAAAGTCATCGTACCTCCCAGTCTTTCTCTCTACTTTCCATGAACTTCAAGCCTTTGTCCAACTCTGCCTTCATCTCACAAACATGGGCTACAGAGTGGACTGACCAAGCATCGTCGGGAGTTAGAGCGAGCCCCTTCACAAGAGAGTTTGCCGTTTTGAAGCAAGAAGAAGCGATGAACGTGTTGATAAGTAACTAGATCTAAAATGACCAATCCAAAATAACTGCATTCTAAACACTCAACATGATGCTCCCCAATCTTTTCAGCGACCCTCATATCATACTTTGTATGCATTACACGCTGAGTTTTGAAGGGTCTGCTGTTTATTCCTGTAGGTCTTTGACAGCAAATTACTTGCAGAGTTGAACTAACGAAATCAGAAAAGGGACCGAGAGTCCAAAACCCCCTGCTACAATAATGGCAACAGCTTGAATAACAGCAGAGAAGAAAATCTCACCTCCATGGCTACTTTCTCAGCCTGGTCATAGAAACGAGTTTCCAGGAGACCAAAGGAATATAGTCCATTCAGGTAGCTGAGAGCAGGTATGTGCACACGTACGTACACACAAAAACAAAGTAAACAAATAAATTAAAAAAAAAAAGAAGATCTAATATGGCTCATTTCAGACAGTGAATTTACAAACGAGCTGCACCAATGCACAGCATACTGGAAATATTTATATTATTTCAAACTTTGAATCATGCAAAGCTACTCTGGCAGAGTGAAAGAACATCCTAACAGTTTGAAAGCATACATGCACACTTTAAACAAAAATACTAAGCACTGCACAACTACTTACTGTAAACAAGCCTCATTAGCTTACATGCTGTATGTTTTGCAGGTATGCATCCATACTGTCCCAATGCATGGCATCAATGTTTAGATTGACAAACAAAAAAAATCTCTGGTGACATTAAGCCGTCTTTTGTACCTGGACAAAGGCATGTGTGGTTTCCAGTGGGGAAGCACCCTGGCCACTGAGTCCCTCATTTGCATTTGGGCTCCCATGTAGAAATAAGCATCATGTGCAAACTTGAGGGCCAACATATCAGTTGGGTGGTCTAGCAGAATATCTTCCCATGCCTCACAGGCTTTCGGAAAATTTCTGCAAGACAAATGTGTCGGTTTAAAAAAGAAAAAAAGAGCGAGTTCAGGGAACGTTGATCGGTACCTGGAGAATCACAAATGTCAATATGCTTTGTGAGCAGATTAGAGGGACTTGGAAAGTATCGCAAAGACAATGCTGAGAGCCAAAATGGCTCCTCGATATTACAGTATAGCTGACTATACCCCGGGGAAATAAGACAATGAATATAAAATTCAAATATTACTTGCTGGACTGTGACTGAAATTTTACAGAAGAGCTTGGCAGACAATCTGTAGTAAGAGAGTGTATCACGTAAGGCCAGGCAAATAACTTAGGGAATGAATATCACCTGATAAAAAATAAATAAAAAAAAACACTTGTACTTCTGTGTTATGTATAAAAAAAAAACACAAGTTCAACCTATTTCTTCTGGCTCAATGAAACTCATTTCGACTCAGACTTCAACTACAGACCCCAGTGACAGATAAGATTAAATATGTAAGAGTCTCTCTTAGCATACAACTCTGAGAATGATTAAGTTACTTCATTTTAAAGTCATTACATCAGGATTTTGTACAGATTTATAACAGAAATATTTTTGATAGCGTTAAATAATTAACCCTTAAAATAATTTTGATAAAACCAGTTTTGTGCACATAAAAAAAAAAAAAAAAAAAAAAAAAAAAAAAAAACTGTTGCAGTGTGCAGGGCTCTTGGATAAGGGACGCTAAAACTAACCACATTTTATGCTTTTAAAAAATAAGTGTTTGTGTGCTGTCAATTATTGAGGTTTTTGTTTGATTGATTTTACATTTGTTATGCATTTCAATCATAAACATGCTTTTCAATCAGTTTCCTGTGAATTCACAACCACTTTGAACATTTAGAGAATTGGGTTTGCTGACTGATACAGGTTTCATATCGTCATCATGGGTTTATTGAGGCCTTCTGAGCAGGAAAACATTCAAAGATAAATTTGGCTCAAACACAACCCAATGAAGCACGGGCTGCTTTGTGATTGCGTCTCCTGCTGTGGCGGTCTGGCTCTGGACCTTACCCGTGTGAGAAGAGCTCCATGGCTTGGACATGGAGTCTCTCTCTGGAAGTGATGTCCTGGCTGTTGGCAAGTTCCACCGTCCTCCTCACAGCACTTGACAGACGCTCATCCAGCCTGGTGGAGCTTGTTGTTGCCACTAGCTCCAGGCCTGTACTTATCACATGCCCCATAACTACAGGAAAAACAAATAACAGCTGTCTTTTCTTTCTGGAGGTTTCTGCAGCTGCAGTTCTCATGGGGAACGAATCACATGCACTTGTAAAGTTTTGCCTTTGGACTTAAGTAAAATATTACAGGAGCTTCTTGGTTCCATTTCTGTTTATTTGCAGCATGAGATGAAGAATAAGAGTTGTTTAACTCCACTGTATGCCCCTGATACGAATAAGTGCAAGCAGCCAGCATTTTAAAGGGTGTCTATTGTCAGCAATGGTAAACTTGGAAGACCTCAAATTGTTTTTCTTATGTAACCAGACATTAGGATCAATCAATTCAATCAACGTGTGTGTTTACAGCAGCTAAACTAAAAAGCAGCTTGCAAGTTCTGAGGAGAATCAATAAGTGTTGAACTTGCACAAAGGAGGGTAGAGTCATTTGCATGAACAACAACTAAATGCTTGATCAGAGCTCAAACTGACAGCTGACAACTGAGGCCTCCCAGCTACACATAACACTGAAATAATCTGAAGTGACTGACCTCTAACATGTTTATTTAAAGAGTAGTAGCCACATTTAATTGTTTTTCCTTGCAGCATATAAACTAATCAGACATCTCAGGGTTTCTTTAGTCTTATTTTGTTGTTTTCCTTATTTCCATATTTATCAGAAGCATAGTTAACCCCACATTTAGTTACCAAAATTTGGGTCAGCTGCCTGGACAGCAGAAATGCATCCTTCAATTCCTCCCAAGCTGTCATCGTTCCTCCACTTCACGTACTGGGGGGTTAAAACACAATTTAGATCTTAAACAGCCTGAAACACCCACGGTGTGCAAACTGCGTGTGCATGTGGAACAGGTGTTTTCGGGTGTTAAGTAGGCTACCTGCGTGAGTATGGCGTCATACATTTTACAAGCCTCATTACTGCTGGTGGACAATGTAAGCCCCTCCGCCCTCCATGCCTGCAAGAAACGGGAACATAATGGTGCAGACGTTAATGCTGGGTTTCAGTGTGTAAGCCGTTTGCATGACAAACATGCTGTTGTCTCGTCGGCTTGAGCAACCTGAGGTTAAAGATTCATCGAGTAAAGGCAGCCAATTTCATTTCAGTGTTACCCAGAGCCTAAATAAATCTACTTGTTATTGTAAAAGTTCCGGACACTTATCAACAGTGGACATGTAACTTATCGAGGTTTGCCTGCTTTATGCCCCTGCATGAATATTTTTCTGTAAACTAACAGTTTTATCCTTTTTTCACTTTAAATATACATATCTCAATAATACAAACTATGTTTCTCAATCCTTACTGCCACTTAGTTATTGCAACAAATAAAGAGAAAGTGTCGCTTTCTGTTCTTCATCCTTCTTTAAAGTTTCTTTCTCTCTCCGAGTCACTGACCTGGCAGTCCCTGAAGCTTGAGGAAATCATTTCGAAATCTTCAGCTTCTCCACCTACACGGGGGGGAAAAAAAAAAAAACCTGCTGGTGGGTCAACTTCTCGGTCAATAAAAAAAGAAAAACGGGCCGGAAGTTTGTCCCTCCGTTGACACTCTTTCAAAATAAGTGCACGAGTAGCGTTTAGAAAGTCTACGTCAGAATGTTTTCCGAAAGCATGCGCTTTATTTTGTTAACTGACCTGCTATTTACGAGTCCACAAGATTATTTAATGTTAAAAACATTTTCCCCACATTCCGTTTGCTTTACTTAAAGAACCTGCTGTCGTTATCGGTTATGGAGGAGAAACTATCCTCGGTGGCTACAAGAATTATCAGACGGGGAGTCTTAATAATGTTGTAGGATTTATCTTGGCTTTTGCTTGAGAAATTAAATTTTTCACAGATGACAGGACCATTCAACAGGCAGGGGGCATCAAACGTATTAAATGTACAATTCTGGGTTTTTGATGTCTGACACCAAGGCACTAAAAATCTATTTTCCCCACCTCTGCTGAGAAGATTACATTTCAGCCCCCACCCTCTTTATTCTCCCTCATGCAAGTCCCCCAATTTCATGGAAGCGCAGCAAAAAAATATCAGGTAATTTTAAGATGCCTGGGTTCCATCACAGTGCCCGCTACAGCTTCTTTGGCAAGTTAAAAGGCAGGTAGAAGTTAAGATTGAAGTTAAATGCGTTTCAAAATATACAGGAAAAGCACAGATAATACCATATGAACAGTATTCTACTACTTCTTTAAATCTATGCAGTCCCACCACATTATATAGCCTGCCTATTTGCATTTAGGAATTAATTCCTTTCTGCTACTGTACTTTGTGTTCTCGGTAGAAAGCCTCCGCTAATCCTTTATTAAGCCTGGGCTTGTAATGAAAGCAGAGAAAAAGTCACAGTAACATCTCAGGCTGGCTAAGGTGGAATGAAAGGTTTAAAAATAATAATCTCTTGCTCATAACTATAAGACATTCAATTAAAAAGTTTGATTTTAGAGGACAAACACGTAAAAGAACTGCATCGTTTATTGCCGTCTTCAGCATACATCCAACACCCCTATGAATTTTAGCTACATGAAGCATTTACATTACAAGTCGTTTGTCGACAGAGTAGTTTTAAAAATTAGGATTCACTTTCTTTACATATGATACAATTTGCACAGGTTAATAAATATCAATACAATCATGTCAACCTTGGAACACACAATCTAAAACAACAGCCCATAAAATTGTGTAATATTCACAGCTCCAAACAAGTCATAAATATAGCCTCTGACATTTCTACACTGTAAAACAGTGCCCACCTGGATTTGTACAATTGGCAAAGAGGCCTACTAGTCCGCCAAGGATGTCCAACGGATAAACCAAACCAATATTCTCATTCAATGTAGCTTGTGCAGTTCTTTAGGGTCCCATTTATGTGTAGTTTGGGGACCTGCTGTAGAAAAGTGTTGTTTTAAAAAAAGAGCTCCAGTGGAACACACAGATGTGATTATTGGATACCTCAAAAAAATCTAAACAAAAAAAAAAAACTTAAGTTTATAGAATGGAAATGAAAAGGCATCTTTTTCAAAGCTAAAGTATTAACACTGCAGTATATAGTTGTGTAGTGTTCTCTCTTCCCCACAGTAAGTCCTCCCATACTAACAACAGTAACATCAGGTCGTTAGTAACATCCCATTGTTAATACAGTCTATCCCGAGGATTGTTTCTACTGTTTAACAAAGCAGGAACCAAAATGTGAACAAATACTTGTAAACGTTAACGGTCAGTGTGATACACAGCCAATGAGAGCTCACAGAGAGGCCCATCATCATCATCAACTCATGTGAAATGCTTAAATATTTGCATCCAAGTCTTCTATGTGCCTGAAGCCATAATTCCTGACATGCAGCGGCATGTATGCGAGATACAAAAGAGATATGCGAGATAATGAGATTCTGGGCACTCTCCTGTGAATACAAATAAAATTAAAACAAAACCATTTTTTTTAACTGTTAAAAGCAAAACATGGTAATAAATACATAAACATGGACATATTTAATGGATTCATAGTGGTGACAGACTCTGCAGGGGGAAAGGAAAGAAAACAACAACAACCCCGGAGCGTTTTATGATGCATTTGTGGTTTCTGAAGGATGCTGATGTGAGTTTGTCACTAGGGAGAAAAAAAGGCAGCTTCAGCAGAGTCCGTTCTACAGTCGGACTGAAAAGAGCGAGCTAGGAGACCTTGCTCTGACATTTAAAACACACCTCTGCAGCACTAAGACCGAGGACCCTCATCTACTGAAAATGGGACTCGATTATACCCCCTCCCATTTTTGTTTTTACAATTCCTGTACATCAGCAGGACCAATCTTCATTCTTCCCTTTAAATAGTGGAGAACAAAGTCTTTAAACGCTCTCCTAACCCCCCGCCACAATTTTCAAGGTTGAGATGTTAAAGTTGTGAATATACACACCACGTCTCCACCCACAGACTGAGACAGCAAGCATAACTGCAAAGTGATTAACATGTACTGCCTTTGGGCAGGGGATATGTAAACGCTGCAGACTGCTCCAACATCACAGGCAGCCGTAGTGTACATATTATGTTGTTGGGGTTCTTCACACATTCGCTGCTCTAGGTGTGACAGTTTTAGGCCAAATGCCTGTGTCAAAGTTCAGCAGATATATCCACATCAAAGACGCCCACGTGAGACTGAGACCGCCTACGAGCAGTCGAAAACTTGAAATGATTCCCCTCACATCAAGCCCAGTTGAGGTTAAAGCCTTTAGAGAGCATAACAGCCTCCAGGTCCTTGTCTTCCTCCTTCTCTCGAAGTCTCTGCTCCTCCAGGAGAGCAACCAGGGCATCTCGTTGCTCCACCACTTCCAACATCTCATTCAGGATCTGCTTCTCCTCAGCCAGTTCCTTCTCAGATTTCAGGTGGTCTGAAAGAAGCCCGTGCAAATTTGAAAACAAAGAGACGTTATGCAGATATGAACGCTGGGAGCTCATTTGTATAGCCCGTCAGCTAATTTGCATTCGAGCGTTCACCTTCCACGGCCATCCGTTCCCTGAGTTCCTGCTGCAGTCGGCTCTGTCTGTCCTCCAGCTCCAACTCTCTGGCACTTGGGGACAGAAAGTAAGAAGGGAGACTGGCTAAGTTAGTGTCACTAATGAGCTATAGCTTTCGACATCTACATTATTCATCAGACTATTCATTTATCTATGTAGCATTTCATTAAAGAATATACTATCTGGCTGGAAAAAAAGATGGGCTATTAATCTAAAAGCTTTTGGTAAGCAATGATGAGATGATACTGGATAATTTAAGGGCCAAAATTAAAGCAGTAAAGTTGGTTTTCCTACATTTTTCTAAATGTATTGAAAAAGCGGTCACATATCAGCAGATGAAAAATAAGTGACTTCATAGCAGGGGAATCAACATCACACTCATAATATTACTATTTATAAAAGAAGGAGGTAATAAATCTCTGCTTCTGTCAAGAGAAACATAACTTATAAACCTTAAGAAAGACATTATATTACATATTTAGGCATTTATGATATTACACTTATAAAGTAATCTGACGCTGGAATGCATTTTGATCACCTGGCAACCTTTGGGAAGACTGGCTGCAACTTTTGGTTTCTTTAACCCAACTTAAGGGTAAAAATAAACATTTATGACAACATATGTGCAACTGGACTCATTCACTTTATAGATGCATCTTGTTAACCTATGAAAATGAGATGCTAACTTAGCACACCACCCTCTCATCCATGCACGGTCACTTCTGAAAAGAAGGATCCCTTTAAAACTGTAGTTCCCGAACCAGCTGGTGAGAATACAGTGACGTGGTCTGTTATTTACAAACCTATAATTCTTACTCAGGCTTGATTTGTTTATTATTCTGGTCACTGCTCTGAAGTTTCTCACCAACTACTGAAAACTATCAGAGTCCAAGGAATTCAAGAATCATCGCGATCGATGCTGTCTGGTCATGGCCCTGTTGTATTATCCACTTACTATAAATCACTTTATAAGACGTACCCTTAAAATTAACCACTGAATTCACCTCATCTCAGCCAACTACTGACATTTTCTAAAGATCAGTTTTCCATCTGTACAGTGCACATTAGTGAAATTTGCCACCTACATAAAAAGAAGAAGCTAACATATGAACCAGTGACAACCAAGTTTTGCATCTTGGACATTAAAAGGATCCAATCAGCTAACACATTTGGGGGTTTTTCCAGTGCACCTTTAAAGGGATGTACTTACAATATCATGAGTTCGGACTCGTAGCGGACTAGGGCATTTTTCTCCTGCACCAGCTTGAACCACTCTTGCATTAGTTTAGGATCGTCTTTCTTACCCATACCTGGATGGAAGGAGGAAGCACAGAGCAGCAGTGAGACTCCAGGTGGCTGCGGCACGACACTCATGTCACAGAGACGAGGACTGACACAGGCAATGCAATGACAGCCAAGCCAGGATGTCCTTACAGAGGGATGGTGAGGTGGAAGAATGGATTCGACATCGACGTGATTGGCCGTGCTATACCTAACGATGGCACTCAGAAGGTGAGGAGGAGCTACAGGACTCAAATTTGGCATGTGTGCACATAGAAACACACACAATCCACATACAAACACATACAGACAATACCTGTTGTTGTGAAGCTGAGAGTTTGTGTTACCCAGTTTGGTCCTTTCGACAGACGTAGCTACTTTCTGAGCAACTCCTATATGTTTTTTTGCAAGTGTGAGTAATAATAAAAAATTCACAAGTCTACCAATCAATAGCTAAGATATTAGAGAGAAATAAATCCAAGGACCTATGGAAATATTTCATCTTCCCCTGTCCACATATTGACCGACCAGCTGAAATGAAATCCTTTCAGATCCTATTCATGCTCGGTGGTTTTATGGGTACAAAATAGGTGTGAATTATTCTGCAGTCTTTACATATTCAATAACGTACTGAAGTGTTATAGGAGGACTTATCACTGAGACCAGTAGAGAAGTTCCCTCTATTCATCCTGCCACAGAGACGAGCATATTTAGTGCTGCTGGCATCATGCATTGCAGTCAGAGCGCAGAGCAGCTGCACACTTCTCCTGCAGTCCCACTTGACTATGCAGAGAAGACCAGTGTATAGGGCATGCTTAGGGAAGGTCTGCTGCTGGGGCGATGCACCCTTTCATTTATCTGACTGCAGCAGGTGGAGCCAAGCGGTCTTGATGAAACACCAGAAGGCGAACCTTGATTCAGCGTGACATACTTAGCTGGGGAAGAGGAGGCTCTTGCACAACGAAAAGAAAAAACATTGTACACACATAAATAGCATGGCTGTGGTCTCGGGCACTGGCTGCTGCTAATTGACAGACAAGGGACAGAGAGAGAGGCAGAGGTGGAGGAGAGCTGCTCACACTTAGAGCAATGCAACATGAGAAGACAAAAACACGAAGCCTGATTTACCAGACCTATTCTACAATGGGAGCTTTTCTTCTTCCTTAACTACTTCTGTCTGTTCCACTGACACCACCCTTCAGCCAAGGCTCCCATCACAAAAGAAACAAGGACAAAAACAACATGCCTTTCTTTTTGGGGGGGATTTTTTTCTCTTCACATGGATTGAAAGCTTCACTGACCGAACCACGTGGCCCACTCATTTTTAAGACTTACATAAGGCTGGAATTTTACAACAAATCATCACACCATGCAAGTTTCTTGCTGACAGGCCAGTCAGGTGTCAGGTGGTCATTGCTCAGTTTGAACATTTTATGATTGCATGACATTGTAAAGATTTTATCAAAGGATAAGCCAGAAAATCCAACCAAAACATGCTGCTGATTAGAGTCACGCTGTGGCTGAGTAGTTACTAAGTTACTGCAGTAGTACTTAGATGGTCTAAACTTTCTACATTATTGTATTAAAATAGGTTGAAAGGTGATTTCTTTATTTAAAAATGAAAAATGCACCACAGTCTTCAATATTCTGTTTTTCTGATATGGCATTTTCTGAAAATGAGCATTACACAGGAAAGACATAATCCATTACGGCTAGCAAAGAAGTATGCTAAGCTAAATCTTGATATTAAATTACTCCCACAGTAAAACACCTGTTCAGGACTTGAGGGACCCCCCTAGTAGGAGCAGAGATGTGTTCTGGTAAACTATCCACAATGATATACAGCGGTCCCTCGTTTATCGCAGGAGTTACGTTCTAAAAATAACCCGTGACAGGTGAAATCCACGAAGTAGCCAACTTTATTTTTTTACAATTATTATAGATGTTTTAAGGCTGTAAAACCCTTCACTACACACTTTATACACTTTTCTGAGACAGGCGTGGACCTTTTCACACTTTTCTCTCTTGTTTAAACTCTCACAGTTCAAACCTTCGTAGAAAAATAAGTCCAGTATTAAAGAAAGAAACCAAAGGCAACCGCGGTTGCCTTTGATGTTGCAAAACGTTTCATCGACATCGTTGCGTTTGTTGGGGAGAAAACAAACATACCGTACGGCACTCCAGAGACACGCTGCTAGCGATCGAAGATTTATGTACATTTGATAAGCTGAACGCGTTCTGTACTGTACAGGAGACACGGCACGAGATTGATTGACAATGGTCTACAGCCAATCAGGACGCAGAAGACAATACGCTGGAAAAAAACAACAAAAAACAAACATGCAAAATTGAACCCAAAAAATCTGTAAAACAGCGAGGCTTCGAAAAGTGCACGGCGTTACAGCGAGGGACCACTGTATACTTCTAACAAAATTATTTTTCCCCAACATCAGCTTCAGCGTGATGAGCTCCTTCATATTCTGGAGAAACCTACTGAGCCTAATGTCACACAAACAGTTAGGAAAAGCTGGGAGGACAAAGGGGGGGGACCAACGACGTAGCCCATTTCTGGAGATCCTTACGCTTGCAGGTAACCTGCCACAACTGGCGGCAGATGCAGCGAGGTTATGTTACCTTCAGGGGAACAGCAGGGGCAGAAGGAGAGCGGTCTTCGGCGAGGCATCCCCACAAAGGGCTCAACTTCCACAAGACAGAGGGGAAAGAGCGTGAGGGAGTGACGCAGGTGGGCACATTAGGAGGGGGAGGTAAGAAACAGTAAGAATGGAGGAAATAATGTGGGAGGAAAAAAAAAAAACAGACATGACAGAGGCAAAGAGAAGAGGACAAAGAGGGTGCAGGAGGAAGGGGAAGGAGAGGTTTGAGGTGAGGAAGAAAATATCAAAGAGAAAAATCAACAGGGGACAGGAGCACTGCGATAGGGAGCAGACAAATCACCTAGAGAGAGGAGGTGGGAAGAGATCAGCTGTGTGGTGTGAGAAATGAAAAATATGGGATAAAATAAGAACAGAAAACAAGAGGGGGGAAATCTAGAGCATAGGAAGAGAAAATAATCCTGTTTGATCTTGCAAGTGTAGTTCTTCTCATGATCTTTCAATTAGGTAAAAGCACCCTATATCTGTGCGCTACACACCACGCACATAGCCAGTGGTTATATATAAATGATTTATTCCCATTATAAAACCCATTACTGCTCATAAATCCATCCCACTCGCAGACGCAGATAATGGCTTCATCTTTAAAGTGCTGCTTCTTGTACACGCTACATGTTTAGACCACCCTGCGTAATTTGTTGCCGGTTTGGCGACTTCTGAAGTTTAGCTTCTTCTCAAGTGCAAATTAGGATTTTTTTCTTCTTCTTATTTGCATCCACTAAAAAGATTTTCTCAAAACGTAAGATTACAGATAGGCGTTTATTAAGTAACTTCCACTAAAATATAGACTAGAAAATATGTGTAATGTAAGGCACATTTCACTTAAAATGGAGCAAATATGCAGGATCTTCTATAGTAAGGGCTCATACTCGAGTAAAAAAAAAAAGATTTTTCAGGTTGGAAGGTGAGGAGGCGTGAGAATGAAATGCTCAATACGTGCTACAAGGGACTATCACAGAAAAGAAGGAAAAATTGCAACTTAAAAAGACCGAGGCCCTAATAAAATGTTTATGGCTTCCCCAAATCATCCAAATGTGCTTATGGATTGTGTCGTTTGTTCAATGAATCTTCATCTATGCTCATAATTATTAAAGTTGATTATTACATTTCTAAGTAAAGTTAATAAAAATAGCAGAAAGAAGAAGGGGGAAATTACCTGGCTTTAATATTAGATTTTTCCTCTTTTGTTTTTTCCTTGCAGGTCTCATCTGCTAGCACAAACCGTATAAGCCACTATTCAGTGTAAGCGCCACAGTTCTTCATCACCCACCAAACACGATAAGCAGGACGGAGGACTAATGGAAAATTATCAGGAAGCTAAAAGCGTTTTTTTGTGACACATCCAGCCCAAAACATTCAACAAACCCAAAACAGTTTCAGGTTCATACATTTGAATTAGCTCAGAAAGAACAAATAAAACCAGCTGGATTGGAAGTGATGAAACACCATGCCTCCTGTTAGACTTCTGGGCAACCAATTAGAAGGGGAAACTCGGACGCTTGCAGAGTGACCTTTGTGCCAAAACAAAATGACTCTGCACAATCTTCTTTTTGATGAGTGCCGACAACCAGCGACACAAAAGCACAGAGAAGCCCTGCATAAAGAAATGCTCATTTTTCTCCCTCGTGCTGAGAAACTCCATTTATGCTAAATAACTAAAAATCAAACACGTGTTTCTCACAAACCGAATTCACAGCAGACGTGAGGTGAAAAAGATGCATTCCTCTCATACTCGAGTCTAAAGGAGAACAGTGGACACGACGAGACCTTTCAGCCAGACACAGTCAACGCGTTAAACAGTTTTCCAGCCGTAGCTTATACACAGCGGCTAATGTTTTAAGATTACAGCACTACCCATTAGTGCGCACACACATACACACACACACAAACACTTTGGGGAGTTATGCAACTGAGCAGGTATGAGAAAGATTGCTGGGACTACAGTGCAGAACTACAGCAGGACAGAGTTCTGAGGCGAAGCTAAGAGCCAGGCTAGGAGTTTAGTATTAGTCAAACCAGGGTGGGTCACAGGTTACACATGTGTGTGGTCGGCAGGTGTCCGAGGTTTGTCCATCTTCCATCACACTCTAGCTCCAATGTGCAAGATCGGAACATGACTAGATGAGATGAGTTGACTCAAAAGTGTCACAAACGCGATATCTTTAGATGTAATGTGACAGTTGACAATAAAAACACAGAAATAAGACACAGATTTTTTTTTTTTTAATATCTTTCTTGAAATACAAGGCTGGGATTTCTTTTCTCTTATTGTTAAAATTAGGAAAGCCAAAGCTCTTTCAGTTCATCTACAAACTGCGTTGCTTCAAACATGTTTTCCTTCCAGCTAATGGTGTAAAAGAGGACAACTGACAAAGATCGATTTAGAAATTTGCACTAGAAATGAAAATAGAGACCCTGTGCATGCAATATTACGAATCTCACATGTACCAATTAAAAAAAGAGATGATTTACTGAAAAAAGGTCATTAGTTTAAAACAAATACAGACATTAATCTGTTTTACAGTTGTCCTGTATGTCTCCCATAAAAATAACACTGAATATATCGATGTAGGAATATGAGAAGACAGCAGGATCAGTGCATTGGTGGTTTTGGTCTTCTCATGAACAGAATATTCAACGTTCCCAGCCTTTAAGTAGAACTCTGTACTTTTCTCGGTTCCCCATCTCAGCTGGCCTGCTGCTACTCGCCAGGATTTTATTTGATGAACAGTATATTATTCTATCTGCTAAATTAAACGTTTTAATGAATATGCAACAGAAGACCAGAACTTTAATGTGCAGCAAAAGCATGAATGCATACTGCTGCTCTAATATCACTCTTTGCATTGCGTCGCCGTTTGCATCAGTGCTGCACCAAACAGTCTACGTGCAGCAGAGTGACAAATAAAAGTTACTTATTAATTCGTTCATTCATCATTCATAAGTTTATAGAGATCAAAGACAATCTTAAGAGAACAGCACGAGGCCAAGTGTCTGATCTCCGTTTGATGTAAAGAGTGTCTGAACTACAAACCCAGTAAAGGAGAAAGCGAGGGGAGGGAGGGAGGGTAAAGGAGCAGAGAGCATCGCAGTGGCTTAAAGCCAGCCAGCCAATCACGGCGGATATGAGGGGTACAAAGCTCAAGTAGTAACAGGGAGGAGGAAGGACAGATTGGGTTAGCCATTAGGTTAGTTTTAAAGCGACAGATGTGAAATACATACCGCCCAGATGCAAGTCCAGGATTTCACTGTAATTAGAATCTCCCCAATAGTCTACAACGACAGGGATATATTAGAGATAGGAGTTACTTAACACAGCCCCAAACTAGGCACACAAACACGCACACACTGAAATCTCCAACAAAAGCAAGTCATGCATGTTCTCTGAAACATACAGACACACACAGAGTCCATCAGTACTCACCACAATTCAAATGCAGTCATTTTGTGCAACAGAATATTTCCAATGATGATAATAAAAGACTGCTGCATAGATTTGGTGTGTTGCCGTTTGCTGGGCTATTCTGCATATTTGCTCTGTTTTGTGTGTGTGTGTGTGTGTGTGTGTGTGTGTGTGTGTGTGTGTGTGTCGACGTGTTGAGGAAATTGCTTCATTTTTATGTGTATTGATTTGAGCAGAAAAGAAGAACTAGCTCTCCACTTATGTACAATTAAATCTACATGTGCTGAGATCTTTGGGTGGAGCAGATAAGCTGTTGTCCATTCCGAAAGCAGCAAAAAAATAAGTAAATTGAAAAAAAGATAAGACAAGATCTCAAGAAATATCTGTATCAAGTCATCCAACCACAGCAAATATTTGCAGAAATGATTCCAATAACAAAGTTGTCGGGCTGCAAACCAATCCGAATTTGATTTCTTACATTCTGATTGCATTTAGGAAATCTAACGTGATCCGAGTATTGACTGGAGAGGCGGTGAGAGAGACGAAACACATCCAGAATGAGCAGACACCAATCTATGTCGGGGAGGGGGACACACGCATTCTCCTCGTTTGCATGCAGCTTGGACTGATGATGGCAGACACGTTATGAACGAACACATATCGACATGTTCGGAGATGGAGAACTGTTGCAGTGTGTCACCACAGATGGACCCTACGTAACAGTTTCATGTGTGGTTAATTAAAAGGAAAGGGAGAAAAAAAATTAAGAAAACTACAGTAAAATCTAATACCTGATCTTCTTTTGTGCTGTTTGGGTAATGTACAAGTACCTTTATACAATCCTTTAAGAGAGTAGAGTATTAACACGTTAAAACATACTCAAACAGCAAACTGGATAAACAGCCGATGGTAAAGTAAAACAGTCATTTGGTCGGCGAGAAAAGGGACCGACTGAAATTAATGCTCCGCGTGTCTAGATGCATGCATTTGCATGATTAAAGTTTTCATTTCATTCCATTAACTTCACCATAAAGTGCACTAGGCTGGAATATCATTTCAGTGCTGCAAAGTCAACCTTCGTACTTTATCCTCATGCAAATCTACATCATGTAAATATTATATTATTACTACTGAGCACAATTCATGCTTAGAAAAAATTGTGCTGCTCTCAAAGAAATTATTTATTTCTCATTTCGGAAGTATATCGTCTGTGATAGTCCCTTGTCAGAAACAATTCGGGATTATTACTTTGGAGAAATAAATGTGTTTTTCCTGCATACGAAATCATGTGCTGAATTATGCTTCGGCACAAGTGAATAAATGGTAAACGCACACAGTGATTTCAGCACAATCAAATGAGCGCAGAGGGACAGGTTTGCTGAGTTACGTAACCCTGACGGTTGTTATTACTATTCCCTTTGGAGCTCTAGAAAACTCTGAACTCATATCGTGTAAAGATAAAACGCGGCCTCTGGTGAGCAGCTTTCATGACCAAGATCTTACGTCAAATTTATGGCAAAGTACTTGTAAAACATTAACAAGTGAGGTGTCTAATACGCGATATTAAAAATGCACGCGCACATAGGAAGCCAAACTGAATGAAAAAAATCGATATATGCAAGTATGACTGACGAGGAATTACCTGCTTCTCCTCTCAAAGCTTTCTCCACAGCTACGCCCCTCTCTTCCAGCTGCCTCTGCTTCTCCTCCACCTGCTCCAACTGCCTCTGGATGATCTGAGGAGACGATCAGCAGCAGAGGCACATCAGTATCATAAATGCACAGGGTGATAACTAACTACCAGTAATTAGAAATCCCCCCTAAACTCCCACAGGGAACACTCAGTCGATGCGGCTGTTTACTCTGTTGAAATGTCAGAAGTGGCAACGACAACTATATTTAACGCCTGCAGCCACACAGGACATTTGTATTAATTTGTCAAAAATCCCAAGAAAACGTGCAGATTTCAGTCGCTTGTCATCTTCTCTGTGTCTTGATTTGAAGTTGTTTTTTTGTTTTAATTTGAAACTTTTGATGCTTTATAGCACACAAATTGTGTGAAAAGGTTTTTTCCCCCCTCTCGAATCTCCTGTAACAGCTTCTGTCAGGTCTTGGGTTTATCTGTGCCACACAGAATTGGGAGCTGAAATAGAAGAAGTCCTGTGGGGTCCTGCAAATAGCCAGTAAAGGGAAGCAAAACTGAGGCCAGCAAATGACAGCTCCAGGAGAAAAGAGAGCTTAGTGCTGAGTCAGGGGAACGGGAGTCTGACTGCAGTTACAACATCAATCACAATGGATGAATCTGGCCTCAGTTCAAAACATTAGGAGTGACCAAATGGTAAAAAGCACCAGGGGAAGAATGCAGGAAACTGAATTCCCAAATTATATTAGGAAAGCAGTCTTTAAAAGAAGAAAGGACAAACCTGGGCTCTGTGGAGCCGCTTCAGTTCCTCCTGCTTGGCCTGTCGTCGTGCAGCTTTTTGGACTCGACGCGTCAGCTTGGCATTAAGCTCTTCCTCCGTGTAGGTTTTCTGTGTGGAATAACAAAACGTAAATCAGAAAAGTCTCATCCACAAGGTCCTAATGTGTGTAGGTGGCTCCATGAGGTGCTGAGCACTCAGACAAGCTGAGGAGGGGAACTTTCTGGATCTTCTAACAGGGCGAGGAGATAACAGGAAAGTGGCTAATGCTATTTAAAGCTTCATCGGTCATCTACGGGACTCTCGGGGGCTAGAAAAGTTATGCTTGCATAAAACACAGTGTGAAACATACTTCATATAAACTTTGCTGCAAGCTCTGTTATAATCCTCCACAATATATAATACATATGTGAGAAAAAACAGAGATGTTTCCGCTGTAAGCTGACATGGATGAGCATTTAAGCTAGCGCAAAACGGCAGAAAGAGAAAACATGAATGAAAACATGTGAAAAGGTCCTCCAGTAGCCAGACTAGAGTAAATACAGAGCCGCAGTGACAGATTAATCTCATAACAGCCTGGGGTGTCAACAGATGCAGAGGTATCACGGTGACCAGAAAAGAGAGCGCTATTGGAAACGTCGTGTTATAACAGAGTGGATATTCAGCAGTCAGTGAGCGAGCGTTGCTGTCCAACTGTCGCATGCATCCAGACAGAACAACGATTAGCTTTAGGCCAGGCCTACGCAGGGTGTTATGAAAGTAAACTGGCACGTGTGCAGGAAGACGAGACGGGGTGCAGGAGGGTTATCAGCGGGAATGTATGTAATACTACCTTTGTGGCATACGATCTCTTGAACGCCAGTGCGTGAGGGACATAAACAGACTTGGGGCAGACGAAACATAAAAGGGAGGAAACAAACATGATACAGATGATATGATTAAATGGGTTAATGATTATGTTAAATAAACAAAAGTAAAATAAACAGAACAGTGAGTCACAGTCTAGTTGGTACAATCAAAACAGGCAACGTTAATATCACAAAAAAGACAAGGTGGAATGAAATAGTTAAAGATCTACATTAACTACAAAATTGTGACACTAACCAAGAAACTCAAGTGTAAAATGTTTTATGATGAGATGTTGTGTCCAATACTACAACTATGACGCTTGTGTCTTGTCTAGTATTCACAGATCTGAAAGGGATGGGGACAAAAAAAAAAAAGAGACTACTCTATAGATTTCTCAGGGGCTCTCACTGACTCACACATGGCTGAGAGGCATGATACAACTTAAAACTCCTGTTACTGTAGCCGTATGAAGTGAATAATTCAGATCAATAATCGTTACAAAGAAGAAAACGACATTCATCAAACGACAACGAGCCACAACATCAAAACCACAGACGGGTGAAGCGGTTAGCACCGCGGCATAGACACCATGATGCAAAGCAATGTCCTGCAGGTTTTAGATCTCACCCTGGGTCAACACACCTGAATCAAATGATTAGTTCATTACCAGGCCTCTGGAGAACATCAAGACATGTTGAGGAGGTCTTTTAGCCATTTAAATCAGCTGTGATGGATCAAGGATACATCTAAAACTTTTCCATGGCTGTATCCCAATTCAGGGTCTGCAGCCTTAAAGGCCGCATTTTATGGCCGATTACGTCACAGCGACGTGGCAAAGGATTTCCCAATTCGAAGGCTGCTTGAAATGCGGCCCTCAGATGCGTCCTTCATTTCCCTGAATTTTAAGGCTGTGGCGGTGTAGACTTCGTGGCCCAACATATCCCAGAATGCATAGCGCGGCGATGGGTGTGGATAATTTTGCCGAAGAAAAAAAAAACGGCGGATGAGGGGCGCCCGAAGAGTAAACTTTAAGTACTGAATATTATGTCACTTATTTATGTGCAAATGTTTAATAACGAAGAACATTAAACATTCCTGTTGGTCACATGTCGACAAAGTTATGTGACATTAGTGACGTTTGCACTAACTTGGTTTTAAAGCCTTTACTTTAAAATATACGCCGTTCAATAGCTGAGCTTAATCCTACAGAGAATGATCAAAGCTCGTGTAGAAACAAACAAATGAACAAAAGATTTTCTCCTTCATTTCTGTCAAACAAAGCTGTATGAAACGTTTCCAGCTGTTAGTATCATGGTTGCTAGGCAACCTGGGCAGCGCAACAGACCGTCCCATTACACAAGCCTCGCACTTCCGGCCTTACGCGGCCCTTGAGGATCGTTGAGGCTGCGTACTTTAAGGCTGCAGATCCTGAATTGGGATACAGCCCATCAAGACATGTTGAGCAGATCATTTAGCCTTTAGATCAGCTGTGTTGGATCAAGGATGCATCTAAAACCTGCAGGACAACGGCCCTGAGGTCTGGTGTCCTGAAACTTTTCCATGTGTCCTGGTTGCAACACACCTGAATACATTTCGTAGGTCATTAGCAAGACTAGCCACGCCCTGAGTGGGGGAAAATCGACGCAGGTGTCCACAGGCTTTAGTGTTGTGGCTGATTTATGTACACGTTTCCAAAATATACACAAACAAAAGAGAATAGGAGTACATCTGAGCTTCATGCCTCTGGCCCTGAGCACGATTCTATCTATTTAAAACCACCAGAAACACACACAGACTCGGCAGCAGTGGCAAATATAATGCTGAATTTCAGCCATAAATGCAATGAGTGCAAATGGATTCCAATAAAAGAGCTCATGTTCTAAAATTTAAGGACTTGTTCCAAATATGTGCATAGTTCCAACGCCATTTATGCGTTCAGGATATTGAATTATTACGATCTTTTAAAGAATTCACTTGTCCAGACCTTGAAAATATTTTTATCATAATTTGTTTTGAGACCTCCCAAGGTCAAAAAAATATATATACACATTATTTTATTCCAATAACTCTTTAAAAAGAGATGAAATAATAGCAAAGATTTATCTGGGGTTTGCTTGCAAAGCCACCGACACATTATATGAACTTTAACTAAAAGATTGGTGATGCTAAATGGCATTATTCAGAAAGATGACACTTTCTGAAATTCAAAATTATGTAACCCCTGCTGCACAATACCTCCTCGTCGTCTTTCTCCATTTCTCGCTTAACCTCCTTCTCCTGTCCCCTTTTTTTATGCCTCTCTTTCACCCCCCTTTTTTCCTTCAACTCCCTCCTCCTCTCCTTTTCCAGTGTCTCTTCCTTTATTGCCTCCTTCTGCATGCCTGATACTAGGTCAAAGATGTCCACATGCCTCTAGGAGTGGAAGAGATTATATAAAGAAAAACATTTTCGAGAGGAAGCAAAACAGAAACTGGTACAGCGGATGTCGTGATGATATGTAATAGCCTTGCAAAGCCAGACTGCACGAGTTTCATTCACAACAGTTTGATTTTAAGTTGTGATTTACATCTAATGAGATGAACCTGCATGAGTAAAATTCATTCAAGAAAGGTCCAAAAAGGCGGTTTTAAGGACCCCAGGCAACTCCGGTTGGCGTTGCAAGCCTGTGCATGCATGAATCCCTAATGACAACCACGTGACATTTGTATTTGCTCACATCTGCTTTGGACTTCTGGGAGGATCTTTCCAGAACATCGTCACAGGACAGGTCGGAATCTTCGGAGAAACTCAGGTTTCTCCGAGTTTTCAAGTCTACTTCAAACGACAAGCAAAGACAACAATCAGCAATCAATAATTTCATAACATGAAATGAGCTTTGGAAGAATAGTCTTACCTGAAGATCTCCCAAGAGGTGATGTCCTTCTCTTCCCAGAGTCCTGAGTAGTGGAGCTGGACGACGGTGTACTCGGGCACGACTTATCATCCTTCTTCTTCTTGTCCTTCTTGTACCCTGAGAAGACAGCCTTCCACAGAGACTTGTGTTTTGGAGGCGTCTCATCTGCGCCCGAGAGCCTGCTGCTGTCGTTCTTGGCTTTTTTCTCCTTCTTGTTTTTCCGCGGGGAGAAGAGGGAGCTTCGTTTCTTACTTTTACTTGTAGAGGAGCCGTCTGACGAAGCCACCGAGCTGTCCAGGCTCTTGTTACTGCTAAAGAAACGCTCCGACAGGGCCTCGGACTTCTTTGACTCTAAAGCTTTCACAGCTGATGTCTTTGGAGATGCAGCTGACTTTTTACTTTTTCCAACAGTGTCTGGTGTTACATTCCAGGCCACTTTAGGTGAGGCGCCCTTTTCCCCATCGGACTCTTTCATTTTGCTCAACTGTTTGGCCATAGCTTCTTTTAGAGCCGGGCTCTTGACAGATTTTTCTCTGGCCCTTATCCTCTCCTCTGCAATCTCCCTGGCTTCTGGAGAGAACTGAGTTGCCCTCTGGGTCTTAGAGACTGGGTTGACTGGGATATTGGGTTTACCATTTTCCATTGCTAGTGCCAGATGAAGGGGAGGTTTTTCCCTGCTCGGCTTGCTCGTGGGCGGAGTGTAATACCTGTTCATGCTTGTGTCTGGTGTCCGGTCGTCGTAGCTCTCCTCCACATCGTCAGCAAAAGGAATCTCCTCCACAGTCTCCACAAATGACTTCCTCGTCTCCTGCGGCCGTGGCTTCTCCCTCTTCTTCTCCCTCATCACGACCACCGGGGTTGTTTCTGGAGCTGCCTGAGGTGAGGAGACCTTCCTGGGTGCTGGTTTGGGCACAGATACGGGGCTCAGCTGGGTCCTGGGTGCAGGAACAGGGGTAGTGGCTTTTGCTGGCTCTTTGGCATGCTCAGATGGAAGTTTTTCTGTTCCGTTGGTCCAGGACACCTGGTGTCTCTGCTGCCTGAGCACGGCTGGAGACTGATTAGCAGGCACGGGTGGTGGCGGACTGGAAGGTGGTGTCAGCATAGCCGAGTCGGACGTGTTATAGCTGTCACTGTTTACCGTCTGGCTTGTGGCCACACTTCCATTCAAGCCCAAGCCTGAGCTGCTGCTGATGTCTCTTTTATCAGAGCCATCGCTCTTGGGCTCAACAGGAGCGATAGGAGTAATGACCTGACCCTCGAGAGTGATGTTGAGTCTGCGAATGACAGCCCGGCCAGTGAAGGCAGGCTTCTGTTCCCCGGACACGTCTGCTGTTTGTGTCTTAGCGAAGTTGGAGTCCTGAGGTGGAGTCTTAACAACACTCCTTTCTAAGATTTTACTACTGCGGTCCAAAGGAGTCAGACCGAGGCTCTTTCTTATCTCAGCACTCTTCAACCAGAACTCCTCAATGATATCCGTCTTTTTAGACGGCGTCTCTTCTGTTGAGGAATTTGAAGGCTCTGGCGTGGCCATGTTGGTTTTAGCCAAGGGCGTTGAAGTGACTGCGGGGACGGGCTGAGTTCTGACGGGAGAATCAGAGGTGAGGGGTGATGAGGGTTCATGGCAGGGCAGCGGCTGGGCACAGATCGGGGAGAGGGGGTTTCCTGTGAGAGGGCAAATGGAGCGGTGAGGAAAGACGGGAGATTTAGGTCCTTCAGTTTCGGGCAGGGGTGTAGGCTGGGAGCAAATTGGTGAGCTCACTGGTGACTTGAGAGGTGACTCACTGGGTGGCTGTAGTGGAGAGGCAGCAGGTGGTTTGGTGGGTGAAAGAGGAGGAGATGAAGCAGAAGTTGGGGTTTTAACTGGTGTAGAAGCAGCAGCATTAGTAGGCGAGGGAACAGGAGACAACTGCTGGACAGGAGCAGGTGAAGGGCACAGCGGGCTCCTGGAAGTTGGAGATGGAGTCATCTTTTCTGGCTTTGTTTCCTCAGGTATGAAAGGATCAGGAAAAAAGCGGAGACCAGGAGATTTTACGGGACTTATCTACAAAACAAAACAAACAACAGAGGAGTTTAGGATTCAGGTAAAAGCCATTAATCGCTTTGAACCTCTGAAGCATCATCTCACCTGGGTTTCAGGTTCTGGGGATGGTTTAAGCGGAAAAAGAACGATATCGTCCTTCTGCAGCAGGCCGATGCTGGATGGTTCTGAATTCACAAAAGGGAGAAGAAAAGGCTCATTGCCTTTTATTTGTGGAAAACATATCTGCGTGATCGTGTAGAGAAACGTTTTGTGACATGTACCCATACTGGAAGCTGTTGCCAAGCTTTCCGATTTCTTGTCTTCCTCGGGAAGCGCTTCATCGTGCTCCGACTGGTGCAAACGAGCCTCAGCTTCCGCATCCGAAGGGATGTCATCTGGAATTTAAACATCACATCAAATATTTCATTATTACACAGCTTTGGAAGTTTAATTATCTGAGTCGTTTCATTTTGATGAAGAGAGTTCTTTGTAAACAAAAATGCTATTTTCCGCATGTTAAACACTTGATGGATTCATTACTGTTTGTAATGTTTTGACTGTTTACCCTGATCCATCTCTGTGCCAGGCTCCATATCTGGACCGTCTGCTTCGGCTTCGAGTACTTCATCTTCGCAGGGCTCTGACATGAAAAAAAGGGAAATAAATGAGTCATTGGAACATTATTATCGTGTCTTTAGACAATAACTGTGAGAACTTTTTTCTGTTTAAAAGTAGCTTGAATGAATCTTTTCTCAGAAATCCTGACAGTGAGGTGGAAAGCTATCGAGGCCGATTTTGAAAAGCCGAATACAAACATTAAAGGTCGAAAAAAAGGTGAGTAGATTTTAAAAATCAAAATCTATTTTTCTTCAGACAGCATTAGGAAAGAGTTTGGGCAAAAAAAAAAGAAAAAAGAAAGAAAATCTTTTGCATACAAATCAAACAGTCCAAGTCTTTTAATATGAACAAAGGAGCAGCTAGGCTGCAGCTACATGCAGCAACTTTAAATTAGTAAGCTGAAAATATTTGATCCAAGCAGAAGCACAACCAGAATGTTACTGGTTAAACTGTGGTTAGCGAGCAAAACTGGGAGGGGGAGGGGGCAGTTTATCCATGCAGTTTATATATCAGCTTTAACTACTAGGTGACCGATCTGAGTGCACGGGCACATAAACTACTAAAAGAACTTTGTAATTGGTCTGATCTCTGCCGGAGGTCTTTACTGGGCCTTTAACTCTGAACTCAAGGCTTATACGAGGACTTCAAACAGAGGTGTAGGACTCTCATTCAATTCATTCAAGCTCTTAATCAGCTGATAATGTACTTCAACACCCACATTCTGTGAACTTAATGCAAGTACAAGTGCCATTAAGAGGTGAGCTCCCAAAGCTGTGGTGCCTTGTGGTTTCACTCCCCGGAGTATATTACGTTACAGCATAACATACAGAGCAAGTGCAAAAGAAAATACATATTTTGGAAATTAGAAGAGTAGAATGTAAGGTTTGGTTACAAAAGGTGAAACACAAGTGCTGATCTGAACCCAGGAGAGAAAAACCTCGACAGCCTTACAGCAGGCATGCTTGTGAGTTTACTGGTCTCTGCATGTGTTTATGCATGCTCCATGAAAAGAGGCCAGCCCAGCTGATAGACAGAACAGGAGTCTAAGACGGGATGTCAGGATCCCTTTCGAGTCTGTGCTACCTCCGGACAGGGACTCCAACCAGACTCTCACTGCCTCGTGTCGGGCGGACGTGTGGGCAGGGGCTACATTCAAACCAGAAGATACAGAACGACGAGGGATAGATGGCGGGGAAATAACAGTAAAGCAATTAGACACATGAGAAACAACATGGGAGAACACAAAAGAACAAAAGAGAATCAAATCAAAGGAACTGACGAGAGGGTTAAATGGCGCGCTGGGATGCGTTTGGAGAGCGTTATATTCGCCCCAGAGGAACAACAGTGACTCTGAATGACAACAGGCTCAACACAAAATTAGACATTCCGAGAAATAAAGCAATGTTACACAAATGTACAAATCAGAGGTAATTCAAAACAACAAGCTGGGGTCCACCTGTGGCAGACACAGACAAAGCAGCAGCAGCCACACTTGCAAAATGAGACACCCTGATCCTGAACATGGCGAGACCCACGGCCTTCCCAGGCGTATAGGCCCCCGGGTGGGTTACCTGCAGAGGAGGGCTGCGTGAGCTCAGAGGGCTGGGAGAGTTGGGAGGCTGAGGCCAGCTGGCCATCATCCTTGTCTCCCTCAGACTCCAGATGTGCTCTCAAACCTGGAATGGCGCTGGGATCCACAGGCTGCAGGACTTGTTGGATGTGGAGACTCCTCACTAAATGTAAGTGTTGTGATTTTGTATTTTTGCGTGGCGTAAAGTTGTGTGAGTTAGGAGAGGAAGATAAAGAGAGATGAGGGTAGTTGTGGAAGAAAGGAACAGGGGGGAAAAAAACAGGGCAAAATGGAAGAGAAAAGGCAGAGAGACAGTTATACAGTGACAATGGGAAAAAAATCATCAAAGAGAAATGAAGGGCGGCTGCATGCAATACACTGCAAAACGCCAAACCATAAAAGTAAGCTTCAAGGGTACAAAGCTTGGAAAAGAAAATAATAACACATTTGTTAAATATAACAGTTCCGTCGCACAGCTGTAAAACATAACTGCAGCGCCGTGGGGGAGATAATCAGATCTGATTCATCAGATTAGTATTTTAATGCCATAAAGAACTCCAGAGGTTTGAAACAGGAGGTTAGATGGAATGGGACTGACAATGAAAAGGGAACACCGATGAACACAAAACTCACATAAAAACACAACAAACCAAACCATAAAGAAGCCAAAGGCACGCTTCTTGTAGAAATTATTGAAAATGAAACCCAAACAAGGCAGAATTATTCAAAGTAACTGCAAACACATCCGCAGGCACTTCCGTTGCTACCTTTAAATGTACCAACATCCTCTTCGTCTGTAAGGTACTTCTCCAGCCAAAGGCCTGACTGGAGTTCTCTATCCCAGGGCCAGTAATCCCCCTCTGTCAGCAGGGGGAGACAAAGGCCCCCCAAAAATAAATCAAAAAAGAAAATGACACAGACAGATACATACACGTGCATTGTATGTGGACATGGCAGACAAGCAGAAGAGAGACAAGAGGATGACTCGGTGTTTCAGACAGTGACGAGAACATGAAACAGTAAACAACACGGAGCTCTGAGGTCAAGGCCACTGAAGTCTGGATAGGGTGTAAACACATTAGCATAAAGAAACCATTAATTTCCACTATCACGGGAATAACAATGCAAAACTAATTTACCTTCGCTCGACTCCTCATCTTCTTCGGCCTCATTTTCATCCTCCTCCTCCTCGTCCTCTTCATCTACTTCCCCATCTCTGCTGCGTGTGTCAGCCAAAGCTTCACCCTCTCCCTCCTCGCAGTGATCGCCCCTCAGCTTGGCGTGGAGCTCTACCGCCTCCTTCCACGGAACGCCGCCGAGGTCTGACGGGCTGGGAGGCTGCTCCTCCGCCTCTTCTTGATCCTCCTGCTCGTCCTCCTCTTCCATGTCTGACTCTGAGCTACTGCAGAAAGTAGAGAAAAGGCGTCAGCAAAGTGTTAGGGAACATGAAAGGAAGCAAGTATTTGAGGACAGTACAAGTATGGAGACGTTCACAGCAGCCTGAGGGATTCTGGACTCTAGCAAAGAAGTTTTCTGTGATTCAAAATAGACAAACCGCTCGTTGGTGAACCCCCACAGTTAATCCCAACTAAGATGTTTTTAGCTTCCTCCCACTTCCTTTCTATCCCACTTTATCGTGATTGGCTAACTGTCACGAAAAAAAAGTTTAAAGAGTGGGTGGAGCTTCTGTGCGCATAGCCAGAGCTGCTTGCGTGACTGGACGTCCTTAAAATAGTCGCCCAAAGAGTTGAAACTTGTTTAAAGTCTTATTAGAGATCGTTTAAACAACTCGCTGAACACTAAACGGCAGAAAGGGTAAAACCGAATATCATAAAAACGAAATTAACGGATGTTGTTAAAATCTTACCTAGAACCCAGGTCAGCATCTGTGGCCTTGTCCAGCACACTGCTCAGATTGTGCTCCGCCAGCGTCTCCTCAGGCACCTCCTCCAGCTCCTCCTCCCTCTGCAGGGACAGACGGTAGTTCTCCAGCTCAATGCGTTCTGGAGTTCCCTTCAGGCGTTTAGCTAGGCTCGGTTCCTGCAGGCCGTTCACTTCCAGCACTGTGGGGTACAGGATCAAGGTAAGAAAGCAGAGGAGAGAGAGCACAGACGTGCAGGTGATGATCAGGCAGGTGCAAGCAGGACCAAACTAAATCCAATGTATTTGTGAACGCTGATGTGAAAACCGATGCAAATTCTGGCAGTGTATGTGTGAAGCTACGTCAGCGACAGCATCAAATCCATCACACATCCAACTAGTAAAATGGTGCATTTTCATCCACATCTGCAGCCAGAACTTTAACCAAAGTAATCTTGTACATTAAGGACAAACTGACAAGGAGACACCGATTTAAGATCTATTACTGAATTTATTGCATTAGATAATATTCCTACAGCAAATAAGATCAACAAACACAAATAGGTTTCACACTTTAAAATAGAGCCATTGTTCTATACTTAAATGTACAAGATTGGTGCCTTGCCTTGTTCCCATTCTGAGAAGCAAACCTTAAAACTGTATGTTTTGACAATATTTCCTCTGGCAAAGGTTCATGACAGTGAAATGGGTTAAAATAGAGTTATCATGGAAGTACAGCCGTCATCTTGTCACTTAGAGATAAATTCTAATTGAAATAAAGAGCACTAGCACTGCTTTAAGGCCAATGCCTTAAAGTCCCATGATCTCATTAAATGTGTGATATTTGACACTGAATCCTGTTTATTTTGTATGTGTGACTCATATGAATGTGACGATAGATGTTTCCTCGAAAACAAGTGAAAAGTACGTAAAACAGCAAAGAAGAGAGAGACTTAAGTTTAAACTGATACATATTTATACTTTAATAACCTGCATCACTAAACACTGTAATTACTTCATCTGATATAGTCCAGGGTTGGACTTCTGTCAGCAGTTGGGGGTCTGTTTTGGTTTTTTTGTGGTTGATTTTGGTTTAGTGGTCTAACTCTTATTATTTTGCAAACACTAATTTAGTGGTCCAAGAACTCCACAGTTGCTGAACTTTGCAGCAGCATGGGACGTCCTTACCATATAATGCATATGTATTTGTGGAGGTGTCTGTGCAGCACAAGCACACATATTTGACGAATGTATAGACCTGCAAAATATTGCTTTGTTCTACAGTACTTTACACTGACTGCAAACCTCCACCAATATATTAGCAGTTGTTTGTTGTCTAATCTTAATGTAGAATATATTATAGTATGCACGGCTGCAGTATGACTACAGTATTTAATAAAGTCTTGCATCTGAAGTTATAAACTACACTTGCCACATTGCGGCAGGCCTACACTTATTAACACTTTCACTTATTAAAGTTTCAAATATTAATTTTCTGCAAAGCTTACCGGTTTCAGCTCTCTCTAGTCTAATCCGTGATTTTATTCAGCTACAGTGTGCAAAGCAATTACTGCAGATGAGACGCACTACGTCGAGCAAATACAAGTGGTTCTGGCAGGAATCTGTCGGGGGGTGAAAGGCTGAGGAATGCAGGAAGGCAGAGGAAGGGGGGGTGAAAACAAAACTCCAGTCCCAAGCACCAATGCAAGCACTAGTAAAGCTCTCAGTTTTAAGATGCTCTGATCGGAAGGGGAAAGGTAAAGCTCACAACAGCACTGATACAGGCACTTTATCACATATAATAGTGAGTTTTAGGAAGAGGAATACTAATAGGTGCAAAACAACTTACAGAGAAAGAAACACGTCACACAGGAGGAGGTCGAGCTAAAAAAAAGAGCACTCACAGGCCACACGGGGTTACAATCACCAAAGAGTACAGCTTGGCTCTTCATTAAAAACAGGCAGCTCTATAGCAATCATTAACAGTATATAGAGATTGAATGTACACACCAGTGGGTAACTGATATATTTTTTTTGGGGGGGGGGATTGGGGGCTAAGAAAGCTAAACTTTACTTCCACATTTCACAGTAAAAGCCAGAATAGCAATGAGGAGGTCTATGCAAAGGGTTAATGGTGCTGCCTGGAGAGCTGACCAGAAGGAATTCTGAGCAGCTCTCTATAATTTCCAAGCCAAGAAACAAACAGGTTTAAGATGCACCATTCACTTCTAAGATTATGGCGCCAGAGCACTGTTTGAATCCATCTGCCAATCACAAGTCATAAAGAGACTGCCAACAGAAACAGAAAGAATGCTGCATCTTCAGGAAATAATTCAGCAACTGAGAGACTCACAGTATTTACAGGACCATTTTGAAGCTTTGGTCACACAAACTAGATCTATATACATCCCACTGACAGTAGTCGGCAAAGAGAAAAAGGAAGCAAGGAAGGAAATAAGAAGGGACACAAAAGTCATGCTAGAGGAGGCTGAGCAGGACATTGATGGTGAAACAGCAGAAGAGGTAGATGCAGTAGGTAAACAGGAAGGGAGAATCTAAGGGGTTGTGTGCCACCTGGTGGCAGGTCCGGGAGAGAGTGCGGCGGAGGGTGCCTAGCTGGACTCCCACACCCACGGCCAGACGCCAGGGCGCAGCCGCCACAGCTAGATAGGAAAGTCGAGTACCTGAGGGTTGGAGGTCAGCCGAGGGGGCAGCTGCTGCCATCGCCCTTCCAGGGGCATCCACGGTCGTAGTAGGTATTTGGGGGGTCTGATTCTCCTGCAAATGACACAAATGATTTTAACATCAGCCCTGCTATCGGAGATATGAGAGCACTCTCAGAACATTTTTCCAGCCCTATCCTGATTTCCACCAGGATTTCTTCAAGTAAATAAAAATGGACCTTGGCTGTGACTGGAGCAGCAGAGGGAGCAGGCCTCTTCCTCTGAGCATACCCAGACAGGCGGTAACAGTAGTGGGGCTTGCAGTAAAATTTTCCTGTAGGAGACACACAGAGCATAAGCAAATACATTAAATGCACAAATAAACGCATTCGGCAAATTTCACCTCACGGAGTCTGTGGGCTGCATCTACTCTGTCGGAAAAAATCAATTCCTTTGTCTCAAGTGCATTCAGAAAAATCAGGAGGTTCTGTTCCCACAGCTGACCGTGAAAAAGCTACTGTCCCACTGAACAATCTGTTGCCTGTCCTTAAGCACAATAGACACCTCCCAGCATGGAAAAATATGGAATCATAAGACTGCACTGAGTCCGAGGTGGGGGTTACCGCAAAAATCTCTTACAGCTGTCTTTTACATATTTAAAACCAATAAATTTTGAAAAATTATGTGGCTGTAACTTCATTTTTTGAATCAGAAGATGGCTCTGCTGCATTCCTCGGCTCAAAAAAAAAAAAAAAAAAAACAGGCTGAGAGGCCATGGCGTGATCACACCACAGGAGGGCAGCAAACGTGCACACAGTCAAAATCGTTTCTAGATTGTATGTCTTCAAACGAAGAATCATCTTTGCAGCTTTACACTTTAGTCATTATATCGTACTCAAGATCATTTCAGTCTATTTCACCTTGTAGTTAATGAAATATAAGCACACGTGGGGCTGAAACCATTTGGAAAGCTTACCGTCCTCGACATCAAACGCATAAGAGGACAGTCGTAGAGTCGTGCCGCAGTAGTCGCACTTGAAACAGCTGCGATGGAAGAACTTCCCCTCGGCACTCAGCCTTTCCATCACGTACACGCGTTTTCGGCAGAAGAAACAAACATCGCTGCCTCCGATGTTGACAGGGAATTCTTTCCTGAGCGAGCCCTGCAAGGGAAAAAGTACTGAATCAATCTTTATTTATAAATGAAGAGAAACGTTCAAACTGGTGCACAAGGAGAAAGTTATTGTTAAGCCAGACGCTCACATCAGGTCACTACAAATGTTTGAAGGATACAGATATTATTTACAAGCTAATGATTCCAAAATACAGCAATTCCAAAGTTATTCATTAGTGAGAGAGGGATGCTTGCAGGCGAGCAGCAGTCCAAATTACAGGGACTCGTTGGGAAAACACACTCTGCAGCTACGGGAGAGAAGGAAGTTCAAATGTGATAAAAGGAGCACAATGTGCAAAAAACACACTCTCTGGGAAGCGCTGCAGTGATCTGTGTAGCCACATGCCTTCTACTCTACAACCCGAGTGCTTACCAAATCCCTCTTTTCAGGTACATGTGTGGGCTTGGGAGACTGAAGCTGACTGGCTATCTGCTCGGTCAATGAGCTAACGCCCCCTGTGTACATCCTTACATACTGCTATCAACAGCAATGAGAGAAAGAAAGAAAAATAAGAGGACAGGTAGAGAAACATTAGAAATGATGGATGAAAAACAACGTGAAAAACAGAAGGAAGAGGTGTGTGTGCGACAAGTGCTCAAACACAGCAGACAAACAATGGTGTCTAACAGGGAATTTACACAAGACAAAGGAAGCGTTTGCACGCTGGACTGGTCGAGTGTTCAGACGTGTGTGAGGCTCCACCAAAAGCAGCGAACACAGTTCCTGAGAAAAACCTCAAAAGTTTCATGTTGGGTTTACTACCAAGAGCTGGATTTGGAAAAAGATCAACTATCACAGTGTTTAGACAACTCGCTTAAAGCAGTCATGCAGTTTTTATTCGCTTGCACACACAAAGTCACTCATGCTGCACCGTAAATATAAACGAGCTGCAATAATCTGTAAAAATCTGCAAAAATCTGCAAAGCTGCGTTGCTAATTCCCAAATTCAGCAAGTGTTTGGCATATGAGATCATCTTTGGATCGAATTCTGAATTAATCTACACCAGGATTAGATTTCAATCTATGAAACCTCAAAGAGCTTTAAAAAGGGAAGAATCTAGGTCGACTGTAGCATGTGGCAAACCTAAGCCACGAAAACTATTACTGTGCACCGCTCTGCTAAATTGAAAGTTAGCTCGTCAACATGGGAATTACACTAGATGAGATTTTTGCTGCCAAGCTGCTCTTAAAATCCAAATCAGCTACTGAGTACAAATAAGCGTGGGAATTATAACAGAGTTCTGCTAAGATTACTTTAATATCTGTTCAGACACAGTGACGGATCACTCGCACTCACTAATCACAGCAAACGTGCTAAACAAATGAGTTTGCTCGCATTTCTAAACAAGCAGCCCGACTTTCAAGCAAACATCAGGTGAGATCACGTTAAGCGACTTGTGCTGGAAAGTGAGGTGCATCATCTTCCTGACAGGCCAAGTGCACGTTTAGTGTGTCAGCGCCACGACACGCCATTCCTTCCAGGCATAAAATGACTACCTGTCTCAAGGTGTCAGACGTGGTGGGGGGAGAATCAGGGGGACTCTGGGGGCTGGCCAGGCGCCACTGTTCCATAAAAAAGCTTGATGGCTTTTTCTTAGGCTCCAAAGAGGGAGAGAGGAGAGTTATTAGAAGTTCAAGTAAATCTAAAGAAGAATACTAATGTATTCAACTGAGAAGATATTATGATTTACTACTTATTCTGTAATATCCTGCTGTAACAACAGCCTCTCTTTCCTCTAGAGTCAGTTAAAGACTTAGGTGAGACAAAGTTGACCCAAAAAAAGTGCTTTTGTTAAAAATGTACAAATATTTAAACCTGTAATCATCCGTCTGTGTCGATAGTTCGAGTCACCTGTTGTTTGACTGGCTTGCCCTCAAATTGTAAAGCAAGTTGATCAGCCCTCTCCTGAATACTAAGCACACACAAGGGCATTTGGCCATCAGAGTCCAGAGGCTTTGCTGGCTTCTGCAGAGAAATCACCAAAGGGACGTATGGTGAGGAAAACGTTGCTAAATATGAAATCTCCTTTTCATTGTGGTAAAAGCCATAGACTGCTGTCATTGTTCTCAGATTCAGGCTGACAAGCCTTTAATTTATGCAGTGAGTAAATAAACAATGAAAGCAATTTCCTTTAGTTAGCGAGTGTATTCAGCACAAAAACAACAGATACTTAAGCATCGATTGGCAACAATCAAGTGAGCCTTTAATTCCTGTTCGTAGGGCTGCCACGATTAGTCGACTATCAAAATCGTCGACGACTAATTTAATAGTCGACGCGTCGTTTGAAGCTTTGTAAGATCACAAAAGCCGCAGGAATAAGTGGTAGGATTTAAGAGTGTAATAATGGACTGAAACAGAAGATGGCAGCACTGCATGTACAAGGAACCAGCTGCCGTTAAACCCCAAAGAAGAAGAAGAAGAAGACGAAGCTGTATCCCAGAATTCATAGCGCACCCCAGCGCAGTTTCCAACAATGGCGGCAGCTAGTTAGTTTTAATATTACTCTTATTATTCTTTCTGGGTCACAAAATAAACGTTTAACATATTTTCAGGCGAGAATGTAGCTGTGTAAACCTCAAATATCTGCTCAGTTTATCAAGACACCACATATTTTCAAAAGCGCTCCGAAGTTTTCGGAGACGTCTGTTACCCACTAGCTCGATAGCTAGCCGGGGGCTAGGTCACTAGAGCTGTGGGAACACCGGACTCCCCGCAAATCGTTTTCAAACCCACCGTGTTTCGCTACTCAGGTTAAACATGATATATAAGTCACTTAGATAACTTAACAATGTTATTGTTTGGCTTTTTTCAGTGTTTTATTTGTTCCTAAGTAAATCGGTTTGGCTGAGATTAAAGTTATAGTTTTCACACAGCTGAATAAACGTCAAGCAGACAGCTGATTATCAGAAGTGTGAGATGCTGGAGAATTTACTCCGGTGTCCTGTTATATTTTAGATAGCAAGGAGTTTATTAAACTTCACCGAAACAATCTGCAAATGTCATTAAAATTTAACAAACTATCATCTTGTCTTTATTTTTAGTTAGCACATACCTTAAACACTTAAAGCTGTAAGCTAATGATAGTTATATAAGAGCAGATGCTGCTGGTGCAATAAGCTGTACGTTTTACGTCCAATGGATGATGATCTGATTAGTTGACTAATCGCAAAAATAATCGGTGACTAGTCGACTATCAAAATAATCGTTTGTGGCAGCCCTACCTGTTAGTAGCAAAAATCTTTCTATGAGTGGTAAGTTTCCTGACATGCCACAGGTTGAGTCTCAGTCCACAGCATCCAAGAAATAAAAAATAAAAAAGAACCTTTCTGGCAGAGTCAAGAGAGGAGAGTGGTGAACCAGGAGCCCCAGTCAGGCCTCGGGACATGTACCACTGCTCTAAAAAGAAACGGGACGGCTTTTTCTTAGGCTTCGGGGAGGGAGAGGGAAGGGGTGACAATTAGCCTCCAATACCATTAGCGTGCTTTCTTGGATGTAGGCTACAAAATGAGGCAAATAAAACACTTAGAAACCGCAATTTTCATGTACAGTGTTCACCTTTGGTGGTTTATCGGGTTTGCCTTTAAACCTGGAGATTAAGCGCTCAGCCCTCTCCTGTATACCAGGTATGCGAATGGGTCCTGGGTCAGTTGGGTGCAGTGGCATCCACTCCTGTCAAGGGAGCTCAGTTGAGACTCGATTTCTTTTGGTGGAGCTAATGAGCGACTTGTTTAATATGTTGACATTTTTTCTTTAAAACAGCTTATTACAGATACTCGAGCCATAATCTGAGTAACCACTGAAACAGAAGCGGCAGAGGCAAGACGACTATGAATGCAGTCGGTCATTTACCCCGTGTGCCAGAGGCCTCTCATAGTATTCAAGTTCCTCTTCTTCCAGACTTTTACATTCATGCTTGAAGACAGAAATGAGCAGACACACACACAGTGTATTAACACTTCAGTTGGCACCGAGCGCACAGACATGAGCATAAAACACAGTTGCTGACTATCATTTAAAGAACAGCTTGTAATGCAGGAACCCTGACAGTGCTTGACAATAAATCAAAATGAGCCCAGGTCTCCTGAGGCTATATGTTTACAAGCCATCACACCCCAACAACATATACCAGTCAGCATGAAAACAAGCTACTACTCTGATAATAACAGACACCACCCACTCACAAGGGAAGTAAACAAGACTGAAGCCCTCTTGGGGAAACACGGCATTTTGTTTTCATCTATACTACACACTGCAGAGGCCAAATCAGGGGTTCGGGACACATAATTAGAGCGGGAGAGTAAGGGGATACTAAATGGGTCGGCCATGGATTTGTGGCCGAAGACAGAAAGACACAAACAGACACAGATGGCAGACTGCGTGTCACCTCTGAGTGGAGAGAGAGCGAGGAAGTGGAGGAAGAAGAAGGGAGCAGAATGGTTTTCTTTGGGCAGCTCCGAGAGCCCGAGCTGTACAGCTGGTCTGCGCCACTTCTGGCCTTGAGAGATGAGGGGCAGGAGCAGCAGATGATGATGAAGAAAAAAAATAATAGGTGAGCTATTGCTAAACGTGAATATGGTTGAACTTCAACTTATCACATCTCACACTGCATTGAGATATCATAGTGCTTTACAAAACCTGTAAGAATAAAAAGGTTACATTTGTAGCAGCTTATACATATGACTGAGAAGTAGTTAATAGAATTAGTGTAGTTTCCCAGAGGAACCCACCCGAGGGATTAATAAAGTTCTATCTTATCTTATCTTACTTCCTTTTTGTTAGGCTTAGTCACACAACAACCATATCAAAGCCTGGCGCACGCACACACACAATCTGCATAAGGCAAAAAGCCTAAAAACCCCTAAAAAAAAAAGGAAAGACAGTTGAAATATGCTCCAGTGGTTTTATAATTAACCTCAAAATAAAGTTTAGCATGGAAAAATTCTCCAATATTGACAATTAAAACGTCAAACCGCGTAGCATATAAGAGCGACTTTCTGAGACATTTCCATTCCAAACACTCTCCGTAGAGAAGTACTTGGGATTATCAAGATTATTTACAGTCTTTCCAATCGACTTTCAACTAATTTACTCAGCAGCTGGGGACTTACTGTGTACTGAGAGGGAATTTTAAAACAGCAGTGAATTAATTCTCTTTAAACAGGAGAATTTGAGGCCTTAAATCAGTGCTTGTGATGTGAATGTGTAATCTAGTGAAGAGACAAGAAAAGGCAACTTCAGCAGGTGTCAGCAAGGGGAAACTGATTCTGGCAGTTAATGGTGCTCTGTCGACCTGAGTTAGGCCAGCCAACTATACTCAGCGGCCACTTTGTTAATGAGAATCAGCTACACATATGGCGACAACCCAAAGCATTTATGCATGTAGACGTGGTCCAGACTACCTGCTGAAGTTCAAAATGAGGATCTGAATGCAGAAGAAAAGGGTTTTGAAAGTGGCATGGGTGTTGGTGCCAGACAGGCTGGTCTGAGTATTTCAGAAACTGCTGATCTACTGGGATTTTCCCTCACAACCATCTCTAAGGTTTACAGAGAACGGAATGGAAAAAGAGGAACCATCCAGTAATCAGCGGGACGGGTGAAAATGCTTTGTCAGAGGAGAACGTCCAGACTGCTTGGTAGGGCAGGGCCATATCGGTATAATGTTAGGCAATGACAAGACTATGAAATATCGCGATAGAATATGGGTAAAACACGCATGCACAGTGCCTTTGTTTTCATACGCACATGGCGGAAAAAGCTTGGCGGCGACGCAGAATGAGAAGAGCGAAAGTGGATCGTTGAATGAAACGGATGAACTAGAACTGGTTTGTAAAAATGCTGCAACTTCAGTGGTGTGGAACTGGTTTAGCTTTCGTCCGTCAGATATACACCTAATCACATTTTTTGGTAGCGCATGCTAGCGGGCCGTCCTTATTACCGTATTTTTCGGAAAATACGGCACACTTAAAATCAAGCCTTTGATTTTCCGAAAAATGGACCGTGCAGCTTATAATCCGGTGTGCGTTATGTATGAATTCTGGTTGCGTTTACTGACCTCGAATGGATTTTATGTACACGGCGCACGAAAATCTGTCAAAAATGTTGTAGCACGACTTTGCTAAGCTACGAAGCCGCTACTCTTGATGGATTGTCGGAGCATTACAGCTGTCGTAGTCAGGAGCCTCGCGGAGTGATACGTACTGTGCTTCAACATAATGTTACCGTATTGTGTGTGTATAACCTCTTTTTAAGTTTTGTGGATATTATACATGGTTATGCTGAGGATATGTCGGCCAGTTTCCACTGGAAACGCCTTTTGGTTAAACTGTCAGCGAGGAATTTGCATCCACACTGTTAAATAGTTATATAGCTTTAATGCACATAAAAAACAGCTGCTTGTTTAAGTGAAAATACATTATTAGTGCAAAAAAACCCATCAAAGTTGTGGAGTTGTAAAGTACTTTGTCTCGCGTCAATTATATCGTCAGTTAGATCGTTATCGCAAATTTTCAAATACATATCGTGATAAATATTTTTGCCCTGCCCTACTGCTGGGAGCAGAAACTCAAATACCCAGTGATTACACACAAGGTATGAAAAATGAACCACACACTGAACCTTGGAGCAAATGGGCCAGCACATCGGGTGCTGCTCCTGTCAGCTAGGAACAGGACATTTTGCACTGACTCGCCAAGCTTGGACAATAGAAGAGCAGAAAAATGTTGCCTGGTCTGATGAGTTGTGACATTCAGGTGGTAGGGTCATAATTTGACTTCAACATAATGAAGGTACAGCCTTCTATTAACGGTTCAGGCTGGTGATGGTATATAGACATGGGGGATATTTTTTGGGTCCTTTAGTACCGACTGAACATTGTTTAAAAATGTACCTGAGTATGGTTGCTGACCACGGACACCCTTTATGCCCACAGTGCCCCATATTATCATGCTGGCTCCTTCCAGCATGAACGGAGATCTCAAACTGGCTTCTTGGATATGACAATGAGTTCATAGTCCTTGCATGGCCTCCAGTCACCAGATCTCAATAGATGGGCACCATCGGGATGTGGTGGGACGGGTGTGTCACATCATAGGTGCGAAATCTGCAGCAACTGTGTGACGCTATCGTGTCAACATTGACCAAAATCTCTAAGGAATGTTCCAGCACTGTGTTGAACCTGCCATGAAGAATGAAGGCTAGAGAGAGTCCAGCCAATCACTGACGAGGTGTAAAAAGAAGAACAGTACTAAAAAGGAACAAGCGGAAAGACTGACGTCGTGGGTGTTTTTAACGGTTATATTTTATATGCTATTATTTATAAACATTGGTTTTCATTAATGTTAACTTGCGTATTTATAGAGACACGTTATATTTTTGAAGCACACTTTTTTTTAATTGAAAGTAAACTTCACTATTTATTTTAGTACATAAACCGTCTTCTTTATTCATAGTTAGAGTGCAGAGCTGCCTCCATATCCAGCTGCATTTCTCCATCTGTGACACCAAGAATACTAAAAACTTGTCTGTAAAATATTTTTTCTTTACAAATAATTTGCTTTTTATAACAAAAGTCATTCACTCCTTTTCTTTTTTGCAGTTGCACTTGTGCAGGTTAAAGTCTTAGTCACACAGGACGACCGTGTTTCTGTGGCCTTTGTATGCAGTTGTCTCGATGCATGCTCAATCATCCAGGTAAGTAAATCCCAAAAGGTTGATCCTGTTCATCTGGATGTCCAGATGAACAGGATCAACCTTTTGGCCTTTGTATGCAGTTGTGCAGAAATAAACTACCAAACAAAACACAAATATAAATATAGATGTTTTTTAAGAACGTGAAATAACTGGGAAGGTTTTGTTGTGATTAAACAAAAACTTTTTTTGAAACGAAAACAATTTTATTGTAAAACAGTCATGTGATGCTTGGTGAGGCTACAGTCTCTTCCACTTGCTTCTAGACCAAAACACCAATGTATTTAAGAAGGGGAGGCTACATAACTAAATAACTAACCATAGCTAGCTAGCTAACCATACCTGTTCCCCTCTGCTGGGCAACGTCTGACACTTGATCATCTCTTTGTACCGAATGCTCAGCTTCTCCTGCTGCTGTGTGCGTCTCTGAACCAAGACAGGAGAAGCAAGGATGACTGTGACTCTGCTTCTAATTCCATCTCTCTTGGACACAAACAAACACGCACGCACACGAAACCGTGCAGCTATCTGACTGGAAAGTTAAACAGTCAAACAGTTTTGCACACAAGCTACTGTGTTAGTTTCTCCAAATCTCACACAACAGATCTCAAGTCTGCCCACTACAAAGTGGGCTCAGGGTCCGACAGCTCAACACAAAGTGGCTTTCCCCACTATGAAACACCACGGGGATATATGGTTAGTCTAGCTGTTAGTCTCTACAGGGCTAATGTTTACCTTTCTCCATGCTGGGACAGGTGCCAGACGCACTGGCTCTTTCACAGGGGGTGGGGAAGGGGGCAAAAGACGGTCCAGATTGGGCAGCGAGTCCCCCTTTGTAGTCAGTTAAAGATGAGTGACAGCGAGCATGGCCAATTAAAGGGCCAGAATAACCATGCAAGGCATCGTGAAATGGTCCATAATGAGGGTGGAAACCAAGGAGAGAGCAACAGAAAGAAGGAAGTGAATCATGTATGAGTGGAGACGCAGCAGTAGGAAAATATGTCTTCAGAAAAGATAAGGAAATGACAAGACAGCATAAGTGCATCATGTGGGGTGAACTCTATATTTATAGAGACAATGCACAGTAAATGTCATGCAGAATGTAAATAAAAGAACGTTTTTAACCTAAAAAAAAAAAAAAAAGCATCACTCTTATAAGACTTTTAGGACCTTATCTGCAATCTTCATAGATTTCAGCGGCACACAAACCAGAAGAAGTTTTCCCAAAACAATTACAAAACGTCTCTCTTCTCTCCGCCAGCACTATTGTCTACTGTTTCAAAAGCTCACTTCTCCCTCCCACTGCTCTGTTGGTCATCAGTGGCAAGAAATCCAGACCACTGCGAACCAGTTCACCCAAGCCCTCCGAGCCCAGTCAGCACTGTGAGTCCACCCACATGTCCCAGGAACAATACAGAGCCTGACCAACATAAGCATGCGGGGCTCATTAAAACAGTGACCTACAGGTCATGACATGAAGCATGATATTCACATGTTCATCACAATGCTGATTTAAGAAAACAAACACAGTCAGTGTGCAAATATAACCGCAGCTCCTAGAACATCCAGTAGGCCTCTGCATCTTTTCCCTGTGGCTTCATCCTGATTTCCACCAGCTGTAAAACCACAAAATGAGACGACCAGTTTCTTCCATACCTGTCGTTTGAGTCCTGTAGGCTGAGTGGGAGCATTCTCCTCAAACTTAGCAAGCAGCTGGGTGGCCATGACCTTCACTTTGTTGTTGTTCCCCACAGCAGCAGAATCCATTTTTCTCTCCGACAGGATCGCAGGAACAGATGGCCTGTCGTCACGATTGGTCCTCGATACCTCGTCCTGTGAGAAAGTAGTCGGGGGGAGAAAAAACACAACAAAACAGCTAAACTTTTTTGGCAATCACTGCCAGTCTAGTGGGATTAATTAGTTGGTTCTGGTTGGCTAGACTGCTCAAGCACTAATCACAAGATCAACATCTGAGACGCTCTGCTGTCAGAAATACTCACATCTTCAGACTGGCTGGTTTTCCTTCTCTTCCCGTCTAAATCCTTCTCTTTTTTGTCCTGTTGAAGAAAAGTCATGTGCTATTTTCCCCCTCAGCAAAAAAAAAGTTAAATAAATAAATGATGAAATGCTGATTTTGTTGCTTTAGGAAGAAGTGAGATATACTGGCATGTTTCAGACACTGACCTTGGGGTTTCGTTTTCTGGAGATTGCTATGCTCTGACCCAGCTTGCTAAGGAAAGATATGGGAGACTTTGTGCTCGATATCAACGCAGCCTTCTCTTCTGGACTCAGATTTTGGTTATCTGAACAGATATCCGTGAAATAAGAACATTAACAGAAAATAGCAATTTAAAGTTCTTTCAAGATTATACTTTTTTTTGAGTAAATGACCCTTCTGATCAGAGATCGTCACGATGTCTCGCAAAAGAAAATTACAGAATAAAAACTCCCACTGTAGCACCATCTCTCACCTCCAGGTGGCACTGTGTCCTTAAACATCTCATAGAACTGACTGAGGTACATGACCATAGAGAGTTTGTCTGGCTCCACCACAGAGGACATCTCCTTGCCCGTCATGCATGGTGAGATGCCAAATTCCCTTTCTGCCACGTCAAAAGCTAACTGGTTGTTCTTCTCCTGGTCTCGTTCATCCAGGGAATCAAAGTCACTGAGAACAGAGAAGAGAGACCACAGACAGTGAGAGGCAAGTAGTGATGCCAAGCATCTCAAATGCAAACTAAGGGAATGGGGCTGATAGGTGCTTGAACTACAAACGTATATTACATATCAAAAATATAAGAACTTGATCCTTGTGGTCATATAAATTACACTTGAAAAGGTCCAATTAAACCACGACTAGCGTGTGCTCTTAGAGTTTCATTCAGAAAAAAAAAAAAAAAAAGATATTGCAATAATTTATTTTTTAAACCCAAAAACAGGTCACATTTTCGCTGTTCTAAATCAACTGTTGAGTAAAAGTATCTGGTTTTAATGCCACTAAACTGTCCGTTGTTTTCTTGAGCTAGCTGAAAACTGTTAGTGGCAAACAACAATGCAAGAACAGTAAGAGTAAACCAAATCAAAACAATAAGGCTGTGGGCTGTAAAACAAAAATCAATGAGCTTCGCAACATTCGTAAATTGTTCACAGACTTTATAGCAGCTTTAAGAAAAAATGAAATAAAAACTAATAAAAAAATTAAAATGCTGAATGCAGATCTGCTAATACACACACACGAATAAAAGAATCTATCATTCTGGGGAAAAACATCTGATGCTCGGTAAAATAGTGGAGGTCTTTTATTTCCGTCTTCCTAAAGAGGATAAAAAGCTGACCTAAGTGTAAGATCAACAGGAGAAATCTTTACTAGAAAATGGGAAAAACTGACTGCTTTTTATCAGAGAAGTGAGGATGCTGAGGTGCAGGACTTAACCTTATGCACAATCTAGATTGATAACACGTTTAAGTAGAGTTGTATGGACTGATGTGCCCCCAGTGTGCATGTTTGTTTGGTTTAAGAGTATAAATCTATCAAGTATCCCACAGTTAGTGATGAATCAGCAACATTTAAGAGAAAAACTGTCCCGCAGCTTTAGTTGTACTGGAAATAAACCACAAACACTAATGATGAAGCACTCGTGTAAAGCAGGTGGACAGTATTACCGTAAATGTCCTCATTACCGCAGCTGAAGATACCATTAACATGGCACATCAATACATCTCAGCTGCAAACAGCATCCATTTAAATGCATTACAACATCACAACAAGCGCTGAGTGGGACCTCCATTATTTATCTTAACCATCATTTACACAAACACACATGACGGCAGTTTTCCAAAGGTTCCTTCACTCATCCTTCTGGCTCATCAGTAGCAGCAAAGAACAACTGCTACCCTACTTTGTAAAGGTCGGGCAGGAGAAACGCTCTAATAGCTTATAATGTTAATTGCCGTGTAGTCTCCAGAGGATAGCAAACCACATTAGGCATTGTGGATGGAGATTGCGTTATTTATATTGTATGCGAGGGTGAGCAGAGCGTTCATGTATGCTTGTGTGTGGGAGAAGAGAGGGGGAAATGAGGACATCTCAGCCCTAGGAGACCCATGGGGGTATTTTAACTGTTGGCTGTCACCTCATTTACAATGATATACAAGGTCCCAACCAGGCAGTAAACATCATTTGCAACCAGCAAACACATAAACACGGCAGACCAGTCATTCTGAAACGAAGCAGTTTCAGTCCTTTCTTTCAAACCACAATGGGATATACTTGGCAAGGTTTGTACAAGTTCACAAACTGGGGGAGGAAAACAAACAAAAAACCTTTCCATCTATGAAATGTCAATCTCCGCGTTCTAGATGCATTTTCTTTAGATACTCACATAAGATCAGGCCTGTATCTGTGAATTAGGGCACAAAGGGCCAGGCCGCTCTTCCAAGACATGGTGAGGTCTGTCACATTAACATTCCTGTAGCCCTCTGTTTGCCTCTGGCACCAGTTGAGCAGCTTACTGGACCGAGCTATGGATTCTGATGTGTGGGAAAGAAGACAAAATTAAATGCTTGGTGTGAAATCTGCAGGTGGAACAGCATCTGAAGTAAGCAGGGAAGGAAACACAAACTGTTTCTGGGCAGCGTTACATGTCTCTTGCTGAGCAATCTCATAGCCTTGGGTCAGGCAAGGCTGAGCAGCAATGGGGCCCCATCATTCATGCTAGAATCAGTGTTTAAATAAGCCCATGGAGAAATATTACAAACCATGAAATGTAAAGATTTTACTGATGTAAGAAGCAAAGGATGCAAATGGGAGGTTAGGAAAGGATGCAGAACTCACATGAAAACTTTAAACAGCTACAAGAGGCTTTAAATGCTCGATATAGCCATGGAGCTTGAGTGAGTGGATCAATAACCGAGTTAGTATACGCAAAGGAAATATCATGGAGTCTCTCCAAAAGGTTTCATCACTCCAGTATCCACGCCATTCATAAATATACAGAAAGACTCATCAAATTTGTTAAAACTTTTAAAGGTCCCTGAAAAGCAACGCCATGCATTCGGGCTTTGTGTTACCTTGCAACTGCTTGTCAAGCAGGCAGTTGTCTAGAGTGAAAATAGTTCAGTATTACATTTCAGCAACAGTGACGGCAGCAACTCCTACACTGATTAACCAGCCTATGCCATATCATCTACAAGCAGAAAAGACACAAACCATTCCTGGCCAACTTGGGGGTTGATGAGTTGATCACGTTCTCGATTTCGATGCGAACTTCCCTGCACTCCCCCGTGTCAAACAGGTGCCGCACCTGCAACGTCAAGATGATCATTTCTCGCATGAAAAAGCGTATTTGCATAATAGCATCAAACACAACCTGGTTTAAGCTAATAATGAAATCTTAAAAAGAGGCACTGTGGCTTGTTAGTGCTCATACTCACTTGGCTAGGTTTGAGGAAGTTGAGGCTAATGTTGGGGTAACGAGTCGTAGGATCCACACTGTACTGACTGAAGTTCTTACTGACATTTTCTGGTGTGGTCTGAGGCAGAAGGCGGTATATGCTCTCCCTAAAAAACAAAAGCATCCCCATTGGGCGACCTTAACTGAGTGAAATGTAACAAAAAAGCAGCAGTGTAATATGATAATGCAGTAGCAAATCGCGATCACATTGCTCTCAGCGTCACAACAGAACATTACGGGCACATTCCAGTCAGTCCTTACTACAAACTCTTATCCTATTAGTACTAACAGAGGTGGGACTGATGCTTGAAATCTCACATTTCCTAGTAAAGCACTTTGAGATAAAAGGGTGTCCCTGAAGAGAAAGCACATCGAAGAGTGTGGCTGCAGATATGTATGAGCACAAGAACAGAACAGGTCTTGGCGTGCATGCATTAATGTTTCCACGCTCTCACCTCTCAGCCAGCACCTCAAGAGGGGTTTTTCCTTGGGCCCAGCTCTTCACCATCCAGCCCGAGTCCATGGCTGCCAGGAAACCTCGGGCTATGCCAGTCCCCATGGGCCAGAAGGGCTGGAGACAAAGTAAGCACATTCAATACCCAAATATGGTCAAATATGCAAACTATAATAAATATCAGAGATAGAAACGAGCTTTAAATCAACACCTTAATCTTAAGAATTTTAAAACAGTCTCTTGAAAATCTTTAAAGGGGACAAATGCTTTTGATATGTTGCATTACTGCTTATATGAAGTGTGTCCAAAGTTTCAAACAATGAGATCAGCACAATCCGAGTAAGGAAAACGCTCAGATTCAGACAGTACAAAGCTTCGTTTCCAAACAATTATTTCTACTCTTGTGCTTTCCTAAGCAGATTTCTTTATGTCGTAGCCACAATGATGATTGAGTTTCACTGAAATGATCATGTGGCTTCTGCAAACATACCCTGGTACTTTTACCAGGGTATGTTTGCAGAAGCCACACGAGGGGCAGCCAATCGGAACAAAATACACTTTGGGAGTTTTTTTTCAGAGAAGGAAAAACTAAAACAACTACAGACTTACATGAAGGGCCAGTACGACATTTTTACACAGTCAATTTTTCAGTTATTCTAGTGAAGTCCCAACGCAAGAAAAGGAAGAGTCGATCACAAGTCATCGTCATTCCTCTCACCTCTAACAGGCTGTCGCCAACAAGCGCCACTAGCAGCTTGTGCCCATTGCGTTGGCGCACCATGGCGGCATTTTCTGAAGCATACATGCAGGTGAAGTCAAACATTGCTACATCAGGCTGGCCGTAATGGTTGATGGCAAAGTCCAGTGTGGGCAGCTGGTGGTTGGTTGAAAAATCTGCAGCTTCACGTGCATAAGACAGCAAGGCAGCCTGGTCTACGTTGGCTCTGGAGAGCAAAAGCTCGGTGTCTGCATAGTCCTGCAGGAGAAGCAGGTGAGATAAGAAGCGGCCTTAACATGAAAAATTCATAAGAAATAAATAAAAGGAAACGATTTCCCCAATTGTAAGTTAAGATTTAAGATTTTTGAGCTTTAAGAGCTTCATATGCCCGGCCATCTGCTGCAACCCAACCAGTCACAGCAGATGGCCCCGCCCCTCCCTGAGCCTGGTTCTGCCGGAGGTTTCTTCCTGTTAAAAGGGAGTTTTTCCTTCCCACTGTTGCCAACGTCCTTGCTCATAGGGGGTCATATGATTGTTGGGTTTTTCTCTGTATGTATTATAGTAGGGTCTAAGATTGAATTGAATATGATACAATATGAATTATACAACCCCTTTACCACATAGAGCCCAGAGGATTTGCACTGGAATGAAGTCTCTCTAACATGTAGCATCAAATCACTGCACGCTTTGATAGTGACATGTTTTCACAGAGGGCGGTAAGAGATACATTTCTTCCATCTTCAAGCTCTCTGGTCTTCCAGTGGTGGTGCGTGACGGGAAGGGTGGGGCAGTGGAAGATATTAACAGGGGCTGTTTTCTGATTTGTAGTTCTGCCATGAGCTGTGCTGACTAGCCTCTGTCTTCCTCTATCTCTTCAAAATTAAAAAATAAAAATGGCTACACTGAGCTGTTTAATTGCTATAAAAGGAGCTCATCATACTGCACTGTAGTCGTGCTTACATAATCCAAATGCACTCTGTCTTTGGACCTCAGTGTATGCCCAAACGTCATTAACTCCCCATAAAAACAAAGAGCTGCACATCCATGCACAAATCAAAAACAACAACAGCTAAAAAGATCTCTGCTTAAAACTTAATGCAGACATTTATGCATCTATATCCTTTATTAATATCACTACACAAAGACAGACATGCCAAAAGGTCTTTCCGGTTTCCTGTGCAAAGTGGCCATGGAAAGGAAACTCCCGTATTTAGCGAGGACACAAATAAGTAGCAAGTGCTTAAGTTGGCAGTTTGCTCCAGAATACCATTGGCTTGATTAGACCATTAGGGAAAAAACTGGAGGAATTTACAGAGAGAATAAAAGACTGAAAAACAATGAAAGAGTGTGAAGAAAAAAGGCAGAAAAGAGAGAGAAGGACTAATTTTGTTGGTTTGAACAAGCATACAGAGACGAGCAAGCGCTGTAGGCTTTAATCACTCACATGTAGAATGACTCCTTTCTCCAGCAGGCTCTGTTTTTTGGCAGTCATCACAAAGTAATGCGTGTCATCCTTGTAATAGACGATATTTTCCAGGTCAATGCCTAAAATGACCAACAGAAAGATGTAGTGTTACATAACAAACACAATCATTTTCCTTTTTAACAGAGCTGACAATCCTGACGTCATTTGAGCACAAGAGCAGCAATTATGCCTTTCAAAGCACATAACCAGAGCCTCGGGGACATTGTCATGTCAGCGGCAAACTGTGGCCGGCTTGGCGTCAAACCTAAGTATTTTAATTGAGTGCGCTGACCAATTTTTAACTATGATCAGAGCACAGATTATTTGTCCAATTACTTTTATTTTTGGCATCAACTGCTTCCTTTTGCTTCTCCAGATCTTGCAGTTACCAGTAACAACAACAACAACAACAAAAGCACATGTTTTATGTTTTATGTAGTACCCGAAATTCTTAAACTGCATCATACAGTAACTGTTACACAGACAAAAAGTAATGGAGGAGAATGGAGCCATGACAGACCGGTTGCTTCTCTGAGGTCTTGAAAGAACTTCTGATTGAAGATGAAGGCCACGCCGCTGATCTCTTCAACTTTTGCCTCTGCCGTTGTGTTCCTGTTAATGAAGTTAGCAGTGATGGCGATGGCGAGCTTTCCCCGGAACTCCTTGCGCCGAAACCCTACAGAAAAGCACGGATGATTGAGGAAGGCCTCAAGGTTAGAAACCAGTAACTGTTCACTCCGTTAGTGAAGTAAAAGAACATAAATTAGAAATGTTAAAAATCACGCTACTTTTAAGCGCATACAATACATAGAATATCTAGAAGCATCTACAATTTCATGACATCGTCTGTCCTGCAGACCGCCTTCTCCAAAACAGTCGAATTAGAGGAGAAACACTCCTGTGCAAAGCTCCACTGAGGTCTCCATGTGTGCGTCCCAACACTCATAGGAAACAGACCTAGTTCAACAGTTCCTATTAACTGTGCTTGGAGAGCAAATACTGTCTGAAGTTGAACGCAGAAGCTAAGATGTACACAAATGCTCATTCGGCCGTGAGGAGCAGAGCGAGGTCAGGTACCCAACCACAGCTGCACACGAAGTGAGATCATAATCATTCTAACTGGCCTCCAACTCGACAAACAGTGCCGCTTCATTTAGTCAAATGCATTACTGATGCATTATTCCCAGTCTGCGCATGCAAACTCGCCTGGTAACGTGTTTCTCCTTCCATCTGCTCCAATGATGACATCAAACTCCAGCTCGCTGACGGGGTGTGTCCTAGGGTGGATCTCAGCTCTCCAGCCAATTCCTAAGAAAACACAGAATGTGTAATCGGACAGAAATGCATTAACAGAGTCGACACTCATAGGCTCTGACAGATAGTTTCATGCACTTTTGGACACATTTGGCAGCTGCTCCATTTACTAACTTTCACTTTCCTGATCTTCAGGAGGCTCAATAAGGCTTTTAAACTCTACGTTCACGTGGATCTCGATGCCCAGCAGGAGTGCCATTTTGAGAAGCATGAGCTGAAGCTGCCGAATACCTAGAACACACACAGAGAAAGAATATGTAAAATAACTTTGATATATTTTGTATTAGTACCAGTAGAAGAGCTCAAGAGAATCATGTCTACTCACTGATATGATCGATAGCACCAGCACAGAACTTCCCATAGAACTTTTTGGCCCCGAGACCCCTGAGATCCTGGATGGTGAAGGGCCAGAGGTGCAGCACATTGTTTCTAGAAAAGGCATCTCTCTTCTCCAGAATCACAACTTTGGCCCCCAGGAAAGCGAGCTCGATGGCTGTACGCAAGCCACATGGCCCCGCACCAATGATCAGACACTAAACAGAAAATGACACAGAAGTTTCAGACAGGTTTTAAGGAAGCAAGTCGAATCTATTCTTAACTTGCTTTCTTGCTCGACTCATAATCCACCTATTCAAGCTTCAGTGTGTAAAACCCCACACTAGCATCTAACACTCAACTTAATAAAACGGTCTAGCCTATAGCTGTTTAATAGGCTTTACCATTATAAGATACATCTATCTTCTACTATAATTATGAGCAACTCCCTAACTACAAAGCCCAAAGTGAAGACATCTTCAGCCTAGTGGAAGAAAAATAAAGATATCAACATACTGAGGATCATATTGTTCAGTCTGTTAGATGTGAATGGGAACAGGAGCCCAAGCTAACCACAAAATCCAGCTTTAAAACAAAACAACAACAACAACGATTTTCAAATTATGCTGCCTTACCTTTGTGTTGGCACAGGCACGGCCCTTCTTGTACTCCTTGTGGCTGGCCCTCTTGTCTAGCTTGGCCCAGAGGGCCTTGGCCTTCCAGTAGTTGAGTTTGGACTTGAGTTTGTGATAGAAGATCCTGTGATCACTGGGCTTTACTTCCAGGTGGTCACATAGCTCCTGGAAGGCCTTGAGAATGCCCTTACATGTGGTCGCCTGGACAAAGTTGTCAAACAGGACATGGGACTGATTCACCCCATCTCCTCCAGCCGCACCGGCACCTCCATCTCCCATGGTCCAGACTAACTCCCGGGCTGTGAGGTCCCCTCACCCCCAGAAAGGGGCTTCTGGGTCCAGCCTCAGCTCTGGAAAAACCCTCTCTCTGCTAGAGAGCTTTAACTCCCAGCCTCAGGAATCTTCATTCTGTAAAAGAGAAAGAGCGACAAATTAAAAAGTATTAAAAAAAATAAATAAAAAAAAACATACATATTGTTACAAATGTAACAAAACTGGAAAAGAAAACATGAAAGATTATAGTTTTCTCACATGTGTGAAATGGAGAATTTTACAATGATGATTTGTTGTACAATATTTTACATCAAACACTTAATGTTAGGCCTCCAAAGCACTACATTCACAAATCCTACAGATGTGAATCTGCGATGAACAATTTCTGATCTGGCACAGTAAAAACAAACAACATTAATTAAAAACCACATCAGTTTATGTCATTCATGACCTGCAACTTCTTGAGTGTCACGTATGTCAATTCATCAAATGCCTCCATCCTGACCATTGTTTTAGAAGGAATATCTGATATGTACATAAGTTATGATTTTGGAGACCCAGGAGAGTAGCTCAAGTTAACATATTCATTATTTTATGTTAAGTCTCTAAAGTGTTTGGATGTCTCATCTAACAGCAGAGGAAGCTGTGGAAACAATTTTGGAGGGAGGAGACTATTTTATTTTATGCATACCGTCCATCTAATATTCTTTAAAAACAGTCCAAATCAGGCAAAAAACATTCCCATGATATTCCTCAGGTATAACACCAGGTACAAAATACAAAATTACCTTTTTTAAACTTTCTTAAGTTTCTGTGATCATTTTCTCAACAACAAGTATTTTCATCTGCCTTTTTGACCAAAGACGACACATTCATCCCATTTTTTATTTATTTTTTAAATTTTGCACAAATCTTCCACCTGGAATTTTATTTTGATGAATTTGATGACCGAATGCTTCTTAACAATCTATTTAACAACACAACTATATTTTATATATGACGACTTCTGGCTACTGTCATTCCTCTGCAGCATCATGACCTTAAACAACCCTTTGTATTTCTAAGCATGGAGCTGGACACAGGAAAGGTACCGACACAAAGCCAGACAGGAAACACACAGGGAGAAAGTGTATAGATGCGTCCTCGTGGCACAGACTCACTTCCAGACACAGGAAATGGTGGGTTCACTGCTAAATACACTGTGAAATAACACAACAACCCTTCTCAGTCAAGAAAATCATCTAGCTCTAATAAGGGTCTCTGAATAGCTACATGGATATACTGTGCACAGCTTTATTAAGCTATTTTTAACCGTTTTAACCTCCAGGGGTTAGAGATCATTCATGTTCACTGATGTCTGTAGCTTTGCTGTGATGAATGGGGAAGGCCCCGTCCATAACAAAGTGGATTTGGCAGTAACGTCTTCATCAGCTCTGACCAACATGGCTGAAAGTATACAAGGTAGATTAGAAGGATGGAAGACTATTATAAAAAGCTGAAATAAAAAAAATCAAGCACATTGACTTAAAAACCACCACACAGTTGATTCGGTTTGTTGGTGGTTCATTTGTTTTTAACCAAGCAGAAGCAGTGTTTTGCATTTGCTCCGAGCAGCGATGCAGAAACTTTTCTTGCCTCTTTAAAGTGAAAATAAGAAAGACTGAAGCGAATAATTACACTTCTGACGTGCTAGGAATAACTCTTGCTTACTTTCTTACAATGAGGACAGCTGACAGGACATAACATCTCATGTTTATAAGGTACATAAGCTCCAGGCAGGCTGTATGCTAAAGAAAGCATAAAGAATGGATGCGAGGGTGAACAAACTGGTGTGGCTGTGTGCACTCGGAACATAATCTGGCCAACAGCTGCTCTGGTGGCTCTTGCACTGCAACATTGTTTAGGCTGGAATACCTTTCAAAGTAATTATTCTGAGGTTAAACTCTGCTGTTTTGAGGATATTACTAACTTACTTACAAAAACATTATTTACAACGACCCGTTTAGATTTAAAAGCTCGAGCTTTGTTCTCCACTGTCCAGGATGCTGAGCTAGTTCGTGGAAACCAATGTAGCCCCAGTCCCAGTGGCAACACGTGATGAAAGGAAGGCAGGTACAGAGGTCAGCTGGCCTCCTTTTCACACACTGCCAACTCCTCACTGCAGTGAAAACAGCAGGCCTTAGTTTTGGCTCTGCCTCAGTCAGTCAGGAACACGACTATAAGGGAGCAGTGCTGACGCAAACAGAAAGAGCCCTTCACCAGAACAGCCAGCCACACCATTTCTTCTTTGCCTTAACTTGTAGTGTACTTTATTCAAAACACACACACACGCATCAAAGTGTAAAGGTTTGTGGTTGGAGATGTGCGCACATCTGTGCTCAGTCAGTCCCCAGAGCATACATTTAGTAACAAGAATGAAAATACTGGCACACATTAGTTCCTCTGTATGGAAGTAAAAACTCAAATATAAGATTTCATTGTTGAATCAAATCACACAGACTTATTGATATTGCCCTGATATATTGTTATTGGCAAATATGCATTTTTTCTGTTTTATTTTTTGTTCATAAAACATTTGGCATAATTTAGAAATTGCGTAATTATATGGTAAGCACAGTAAGTAGCTAAATACTACTGTAGAGTTAAAGAGGCACAAAAAATACAAGAAAACAACAAAAGGAGCACAAATATGCAGCAGACACTTTTCTACATCTTTAACACTTTTTTGGTATAATGTGACAGACGTCCTCTCCACAGCAGCAGCTAAGTCGGACACCAGTGGTCTACTATACCAACTGTTCTGCGTATTTTTGACAGTGCCTCGCTACGTCAGTACACAGTTACATTTAGATATGAGCTTGGACTTTACCATCTCACTTCCATGTTGTACCCTTCAGACATACCATACAAAAATTCTGTTGATCAGGAGCAGTTAAAATAAAGCTGCCTAAAAATTAGGGTGAAGGGAGCTAAAACAAATCTTTTCCCCTTTCAACATAACTCAACATACTGTTTACATATAGAAGATTAGGCGATATATCAATACTGGATTTTTTGGCTTCCTAAGAAGAATCTAGTACCCATCCAGAATCAGCCGGGTTGTAGTACTAAGCCCAAATATCAGGGGTAAACATTAATTATTAAGCCAAATTAGCTGCATTCAGAGCCTGACTATTGAGGAAGTTGTGAGAATGTTTAAGATCGGTACTCTATCAGGAGACCGCTGATTGTATCAGCGAATTAATCAGATCAGTAAAACAAAAACTCTGAACGCTGTGTCCTAAATTCTTGACCAGTCTTTTCTTTTGCTGTCAAACAATGACGGAGGAAACAAGACGTAGCGAGCAAAGAACAAAAGCAGTAGAAGAAATGAGCTGAGATTAAACTTTTTGAAATTATACTTCCAAAAAAGATGATCTTGGAAGGATGATGATGATAAACTGTATGGAGACACACAAATATGTGCATATTGTGTTGCTGTGTGTGCGCGCGTGTGTGTGTCTAAAACAGCACAGCTCAAACAGACATTCCTGTGACATGCTATACCATGACCCTGCTTAATGACAACAAAGCTGACCTATAGTTTGAATAACAGTACCCTCCTACAGAGAGAGCCATGTGCACACTCCACAGCAGCACTGTGTGTTTCCCAGTGGTCAGGAAGAAACCACACAGATGGGATGTATGGGATACAGTAATTAAGAAAAGTAAGGATATGGAATGGGCCTCATTTTATGCTTTTCCAAACTAAATATTTGAAGTGTGCAGCAAAAATAAAGGAAACTCATGAAATATGAGCTCTTTCTGCAATTATCCTGACATCTGGATGAGCTGCAGGATTTCACACGTTCACAGAATTCCCACAAGACTGACACACATGCAGCCCTGGCTGCATTACATCATCCACTAATCTAAAAATAGACACAGAGATTAGGCCAGTAGTCCTGTTTGTGGATGTTTGACAGCATGATTTCTTTATAAACACTGTCACTATAATGGCTCCAAAAACAAACAAACATTTCAAACCATCATTTTTCTTTGTTTTGGTTCATTTTGCTCTTCCTTTGGTTTCACTGTAGAAACAATCTGGGATTTTTCTGTTTCTTGTTTCATTTACATTCCACAGACTTGGAAAACCACAGACTTAAGAGCTTGATCCTTGATTATTTCCTTTATGAATATGTGCGAACAGATTACTAAGGAGAATCAGATGAGCTATGGCTGTTTGCTAAATGCAAACACAGTCAGGCGAATGAACCCAGAGGTTTTGAGGCAGAATTTCTTACCAGTTATACCAGCATAAAATAACTGGGAAGACTGGAATAAGACCAACTTTACCAGTTCTAGAAAGTGTAATAAGAGCTGGATTTTACTGATTTATGCCTTTGCTCATTTCATCCAGTTTGCCTTGGGACGCATTCCATTTTAGCTTTGTTCTTGAAAGTTAATGATTACCTTAACATCCCACGACAGTTCTTGAAAATAGCTAGACCATAATAATAATAATAATAATAATAATAATAATAATACTAATTAGTAGAGCAGGGCGATATGGCCAAAAATATTTATCACGATATATATTTGAAAATTTGCGATAACGATATAACCGACGATATAATTGATGCGAGACAAAATACAACTCCACAACATTACTAGCGCAAAAAGACAACCTTCCATTTATTTTCACTTAAACAAGAAGCTGGTTTTTATGTACATTAAAGCTTTATAAAAATGTAACAGTGCAAATGCAAATTCCTTACTGAAAGTTTAACCAAAAGGCATTTCCAGTAGAAATGGGCTGACATATCCTGAGCATAACCATGTATAATATCCACTGAAGTTAAAAAGAGGTGCTTTGCAACATTAAACTGCAGTGTGCAGTACGCATTTTTCGGACCATAAGGTGCACGGGATTATAAGGCACATTAAGCGAAACAAAGCAGTCAGATAAATCAAACTTTATTAAACTCATTCTTCTTGCTTCCTCCACTTCTGTACCATTGATTCATTAATGTTGAATTCTCTGGCAGCTGCTCTATTCCCATGTTGTTGCAGTATATTAATGACTAACCTCGTATTGTGGATGGATTATCTCAGTTGTTCTCCTGACTGAAGTTTGGTCCGTTTACAGCATC